CATGTAGTATTACGCATCTTTTGTATGTATATGGGCAAAATCACGTCAATCGATACCGTCAAAAATTTGAGCCGTTTCGGTTTATTTCCAATGAATCTAAAAAGGCTGAAAGTTTGATTTTCATTTGCTTTTTTGAGGGGAGGTATAAAAAAAATTTAATAGCGATTTTTGTCAACACGTTGGAATTGCAAATTAAATTTTACATCGAAAAACATTTAGAAAATTAAAATTCACTTTTGAGCCATTGTAGATCCACAAGGAATGTATTTAGAGGATTAAAATTTTGGGAAGTTCCTTTTTTTGAATTGCATACTTTTTAAGACCTTTTTTGACATTAAATTTGATATGATTTGATGCATATACCTTGCACTATACGTACCGCGTGCGCTGCACTTGCGCAATCTTATCGTTTCCGCGCGTCGGGCAAAAAAAAACTCAGAAGAACAAGACCGAACGCATAAGTGCGCATCGCTGCCCGGCCACGTGGCTGCGCACAACGAGATCATTATTTCAATATTAATGACGCTAAATAGAATACTATAATATATATTCGAGGAGATGATCGGCCGGAATCTTTTTTTTTCAACTTTATTTTATTGCGTGTTAGCGGATATTTTCGAAGATCGACTAAAATCGAATTCTCCTATGTTTCGAATTTTCAGCTCTGTGTCAATTTCTAAGAATAGAAGCAGTCACACACACGCACACGGGCGCGCGTTGCAACAACGCAAAACTTTCCCCCGTTGCAGCGTCGTCGTCGACGGCTTAAACTCGAGGAGATTATAATGCATCTTCGAATCTTAAGTATAATAATTCATGCGTTCGATATCATAAGCTTCGATATAAATTCTTGATAATTGGTCTTGCACGCGCCGCCCTGTCTCTAATCATCGAGCCGAGACACGATAAAAATCAATCATCTCAAAATCAGTTCTTTGTAATTATTATCGTCACGCGCCGATCATATGCCTCGCGAGTGAATATGCACACTCATCTATGATTTGTTAATTTATTTATTTTTTTCTGTCTCGCGATTACAATAAAAATTATTCATCGGATACGCGAATCCCTGCCGAGATCGGCGGTGCAGTCGCATGTAGTAGAGAGTACCGATCTCGACGAAAAATATTTCGTCGACACGACTATCTATTCGTATAGCCGTAATAATGTAAGCGCACGCACAATGGCATCGACGAATCAGGTATGCGACCTCGAGTCGAGTCGTCGTGCAGTAGTATACAATATACATATGAGCGACGACGTCTCGCAAAAAGCGCATATAGGTATACGCATTGTAAGACGCTCCGAGCCGAGCTCGCAAGAATCGAGAGCAGAGTATACGTAAAAGATCGTGACGTCAGGATTTTAATGTCCGCTGCAGTTTCTGCGCACCGCGCTCACACACACGCACACATGCACTATACTCTGCCTCGTATTTAGCGGCTGATGAAACGACGCTGGCCTATTGCGAAATCGCATGCATATATACATACATAGATACTACACATGCAGTTACCGATCTTAGACGCGTGATTTCTTTAGTAGAGCTTCTTTTGCGTGGCAAAAGGGGGTTGATTAACGATTCGCAAGCGGCCGAGAGACTCTGACACGCGCCTGCATATACATATCGACGCACAAAGATGATTGTCGCGCTGGTTTTCCCCCCGGTGCAAAAATAGGTTACGACTTCTTTTTTCCTCTGCGCGTTTTTTGTTCATTGATATACGTATGCGTATCTCTCGGCTGCACACGCGTCGTAATGCACACACGGATTCGATATAATATGATGTCTGGAAAAAACGAGGTCAACGACCGCATGACCAACGTCTGTGTTCCCACGTGTCCGTGTGTCTGTGTGTCGTCTGTATGCTTTATTTACTCACAATTATAAAAGTAATTGAAAATCACGTGTGCATTTCGCGTACGGCACGATGATTAACGCACATTGTATTCGCGCGTCGTAGATGTTATTATTTTCAAACTCGGATCGTGCGTTCGACGCGCTTGTGCGTCTCGTTATCGCGGATGCGCGCGATAATTTCGGGGGACACTTTCGAGTGCATGGAAAAATTGCGTGCGAATTCTCTCAATGAAAAAAGAATTAATTGGTAAACAATTTGCGTACGATGGTGAATTTCCAGGCATGATCCAGTCGCAGCTTGCACAAGTTGACGATGACTTGGCTCAAGATTCGGGTTCGACGACAGGGCGACGGCAGGAGTTTGTCCAACTTTGTCCACAGATCGTCCAACATCGACATTTCGAAATAGATACACCCTATTATCAACACTGAAAAAATTTGCCGAAATCCGATTGCGTTTGTACGAAACTTTTAAAGTCAGCTGAGACTGTTATATGAACGCTCCTCGACTGCGTGTACTTTTGAACGTTCGCGAAGAACGAGGACGAAGTGGAAGGAGAGCAGCGTGGGGCAGCTCCTATACCGCGCCGTGTGCTACGTGAAAGATGCAAGCAGTACTATGGTAGCCGCCGCCCTTAATTTACTTTTACGGCGAGAGATACAACGGTTTGCCGAGAGATTTCGTTGTAATTTATTCGACGCGAAATGTGCTTTACCCGAAATTAATTTTTATCAAGCAAATTTACCTATATGCATTGGAACGAGAAATGAGAGAGAAAAGGCGGGGGTCACCCACACGCAACGAAAATAAAACAGAAGCAGAAATTTATAGATCAACGCTATAATGCAGTACAGGAAGGCGAAACCGAATGTCCGAGAAGAGTCGGATCGCTTTATTTATTTCTATTAGAGCTAATAATCGCGATTTCTTGAGGCAGCAAGTGCATCGGAATAATCTCGACGCGTGCATTCCCCTGACGTCATCGCGAGCGCAAAGTTAAAAAAAAAGATTGAGAGAGAGAAGCATTACGACTCGTCTACCATTGAGACGTAGAAATGCGTTTTATCATTGATCTAGTTGCGGAGTCGACGAGTATTTTTTTTTCTACAATAATTCAGAGTTTAAATTATAAAAATGAAGATTTACTTTGTACAAGTAGACGATTAACCGAATAATCGCCAGACGAAAAAATGAATAAATAAAACGTATTCGATACGGACTTAATTTAATCAATTGTCGTGTGTTCGACACAATACGTAAATCTTTGGGTGATCAGTTTTTGTTGTAATGAGATAGCCAGTGTAGACGGGCAGACGAACTCGTTAGCGATACCACTGACCCATGTAGCTCATATATATAAATTGAAAGAAAAAAAAATCAATTTTTTCGGGCTGCAATGGCTCTACTGAAAACCAACTCTCTGTTACGCAATCCAAAGCGACGATTGGCTCTTTCGAATCGCACAAACTACGGCAGGGGTATAAAAACGTTTAATTTTTAATCTTAGATCGTTCAGAAGCTTGTTTAAACAACGACGCGCAGGATGTTTTTAAAATCGCGTTTGTAATTTATTTACTCGGTGTGTGCATGACAAAGCTGGAAATTTGAAGCATTTCTCCTCGATGCGTCAAAATATCGTTGCCTTTAATTGAAGCTCTCGCACACCTCCGGCATATTATAGTATTTACTCGTTGAGCTTTAATCGTTTTTTCCGCTATGACTCCCGTTCCGATACGATAATACGAACGCGAGTACACAGAATATATCTCGGGTAAAGCGAGAAATGAATTTTTCAACGAAAAACGGTGTGAAAAATACTATGCGTAACGATCTATTTCTAAAAAATAAAGAAACCTTCGAACGAATTTGGTCGTCGACTTTTTACGCTAATTACTCTCGCTAATTGATAATAACCCAAGTGTGCAGTGCGCACAACTCGTAAAAAAATAACACACAGGCACGAAAAAAAATATTGACAGTTAATCCAGCGATAGAGCGTTCGAGACGATCGAGGTCCAGGCAAAGAAATCATAATACAAGACCGAAAGAAAAAGTAATCTTATCGCTTTTATACGGCATTAGATAACTTTCCACGATTGTCGACAATTTGACTTTTGTAGGACATTTAAATTTTTCAGTTCATTTTCGATAAACATACAATGTTTGTATACACGTGCGGTTTCACGATTGGAAGTACATTTAAACAAAGTTCATTTGTTAAAGTGAATAATTTATCAATTTTGTCCGGTGATTTCATTGCGAATCTCGACGACGTTTAAAAAATTTTTTTAATATCATCGATGATTGAGCAAGAAACATGAAAACGAACGAACACATGCCCAAAAAAAAACCGATTGAAAAAAATGTAAATATTTTTAAACTTCGAGCGAGATGAGAGCTTGGAATATTTTCTTGAATATCGTTTCGCGCAGTAATTTCGCAAAGAGCAATAGGTGACAAAAACGCTTCAATTATCCGCCGGCTTAGACATTATGGCAAAATCTTTTGACAGCGCGATAGCAGATAACAATTATTAATAGCGGTATATTTTTATACATTGTTAATTAGTTGAAACAATTCCTCACAGACGGCATTTATAATTAATCGGTCGTTGAGCAACTCGATGAATTTTACTTTTTCGTTCGGTACAAAAGACTCTCAACAAGAGTACAAAATTTACAAGTCTTTGTTACATTGATATTCCAGTCGGTCGAATTAACGATAAACAAGCATATAAAACGCGCGTCGTGACAGTGCGTACACGAGCACGCGACACAGCTGCGAGCGACATTATAGGAGCTTGCCATTTGTCGAAGGTCGGAAAGCTCACACAGACTATACGGGCACAGACGCATTTTGTGCTCGTATATATTTGCACGCGTCACGCTTAGGTCGAGCCCCCACGAACAGCAACGAATCAGAGAGCGATAGATAAAAACGGCAGCAGCAGCAGTAGCCGAGTGTGCTGTTCGTGACGACAACGACGCTCCAAAGCTCTCTTAGCAAGTGGCGCCACGACGTTGAAAACGCACATTTGCGTCGAATTATTTTTATCAACGATCAAACTATTCTGATAGTTTCGAGTCTTGTTGGAATTTTAACAATCAAACAGAGCTTTCATCCATCTTTTTTACTCACCGTTGTATGTCTCCAATACTGTATCAATTCATGAATATCGGTAGTTGGGGCGTACAGTAAGAAGTCTCTCCATTCGTTGAAACTAATGTTGAGGCTTCCATCTTTATCCATTCTGAAAGTATTTTAATTATTTAGAAATGGAAAAAACATGACATTTTAAAAACATTTTATGACATATCAACCTTTGAAGCAGTTTCTTAGCTTCGGCCCGTTCCATTTCAACGCCAAGCTCTTTGAACGCCTTTATCAATTCTTCAAGATCAATTTTACCTGGAATAAAAACGAACAAAAGATTTTATTGATTGGTTTAAAAGAAAAAAAGGCATGAAACGTGCAAAAAAAAGTCAATAAAGTCACTCACCATCTTTATTTTTATCTAGGTCGGTAAATTGTAAACGTAGATTTTTTTCGTGCTCCCGCACATAATGGATAAATTCGGCTAATGATATATCTCCGCTCTTCGTTTGGTCCGAGCGCGCCAAAAATTTCTGCCATCATAAAAATTCTCTTTAGCACAAAATTTGGTAATACAATATTAATACTAATCTACGAGTAATTTCTTAACGTATTTTATTCCACTTATAACTGAAAAACTTTTCAAGATGTGCCATTGAAATTCTACGAAATGACAGTTCATCAATTGGATAACATTTAAAGTCAAAGAAATCAGATTAAAATTGAAGTCGCAAGAAACCGTACAAACTGTTATATAAAGCAACTTACGAATTGATCTTTCCGGACAATTAAGTTTACGAAAACGACAACTCCAGACAGACTTGCATCGTAAAAAAAGTTTAAAAAAAATGTTACTAATAAATAAAACTTTACGACACGCACAATAGATGGACTTGCGCAATGCAACATTTACATAACCACAAGTATGATTGTTTAAAAAAAAAAAAGTTTCAAGTGTCATTTGTTCCGAAAGTGGTATAAACGTTCAAGGTTTTCGATGCACAGAGGCGGGGGTAATTAACGGACACACGAACGGCGGCGCGGCCACTCAATCAGGTCCGATAAAAGTTTTCTTGGCAAATAGGATTATAATAAATAAAGCCGGAAGTATACGTAAGCCAAGTCATTTTCGACATTGAAAATCCGAGTCTAATACAGCTGTCGAGTCGAGCCCATGCGAAACGTATAAACGCGATCAACTCGTCCATCTGTAACATCTCGCGGTATATATTTGTTTTTCCTCGGCGAATTACATGTGCGCGCGCGCGCGAATCGGTCATCGAACTCGTCGAGTTTCCTTACATACTTATTACTACTCATCGCGTTTCGATGTTACAAACACGACTCGACAACAAATTTTTTCGTCTCTCCACTTGGTTACGAATTATTACAAGCAAATAATAATAAGAATAACAGCGATACCTGTGCATAGCGCTCGTGAACGCCGGCGGCGTGCAGAGCCTTGGACAGGTCGTGCACGTCGATGCGCCCGTTGCCGTCGAGATCGAGGGTCCTGAAGAGCTTGCCGAGGCGCTCCTCGTCCTGGGCCGGCAGCTCGTGTATGTAGTGCGCGGGCGGTGGCGACGCTTGCGCGCCGGCCATCATCGCCTGGGCACCGCGTGCCAAATTACTGGTAGGCATTTTTTTTCTCGTTAGATTATCGAAAAAAAAATAGTGTGAGATATTTTTTGTCCCTCCTAACTAACTAGGGGGAAGAGTAGGCTAATTTTCGCGTGGCTAATTGCACTATTTGTTTTATTTTTATCTAAGTGTTTCTTTATCTAAGTGTTCTTTTGCTAATATTCTTTGCTAATATAATAAAGCCGCTTATAGGGGTTTATTACGCCTTTGGAGCTTATTGTTCAGTGCTTCTCAGATGTAACCGTGAATCCGAGCTGACGGTTGCTGCTGCTGAGACGATATGTTTCTGCTCTCGTTGCCGACGATGACCATCAACGATTGTCTGGGCATCATGATGCCTGCGAAGGAAAGAAGAAGAAAAAATAATTAAGGCACATTATACATTTGTAAACAGTCTGCGAGTGTTTAAAGTAAGGAGTAAGGGTGTAGAGAGCGCGAAAGACCGCACATGTATGCAGAACGATACACGTTCGGGGCATCGAGAAATCCAATAGGCTAATTTATACATTAAACAATGCGGTAAACCGATACCGTCTGTGTAGGATCGTCGTGCGTGATAATAGCGACGATGATGTTATATTATACTCGCTCTGACTTTATTATCATCAGCTCTCCTCTCTTGTAACACTGGCGAGCGCACACGAACAAAAGCGAGATTAGCGCATTCCACCGCGGAGACCGGCGCGAGTTTAATTATAACACATCATGAGCGCAGAAGGTCATGGATATTTGGCTTCATTTTTCTATACGTTACGAAATAGCCATTACGTATTTTTTCACGAACGAAATGATTCGCGCCCTCGATCGTATCGATCAACCCCCTTGGACTCGGTAGAAACTGTCACTATCGTGAAATCGGGGTAGGGGCTTCGCACACTCGCGTTCGACATTTAATTGGTCTACTGTATTATATATAACGCGTGGTTCTGGCTCTACTCGAACGTACGGATCGATAACTACAAAAACGCACAGCGGAGATTTCGATGCCGTGACTCCGTATCCGAAAATTTTTCAGGGGGAGAAGAAATTTTCCCTGCAAATCGAGTGCAAGAGCAATTGGAGCCGAGCCAGATTGTAAATTTTATATATAAAATCATCAAAGCTTGGCTGCTCTCTCTCTCTCTCTCTCTCCCTCTCTCCGCGCAGCGTATTATATTACGCGCACTCGGGCATTTAAGCAAATACTCGTATAAATTTCGATAGCTGCGTGAACTCTATTTAAAGGCGAAAAAGTACTGAAACGCATTAAAACAAAAACGGCTAGACAACGTCGAATGAATTATTCAGCGCTATCGACGATAATAAGTTCGAACGCGTCGCGGATAGAGTCGCGAAGTTTATCGCAGACTAGCTTTATATAAAGCTCGGCGGGAGCTTTTTCGGTTACTTCGATGATCTGCAATACAAATCGTAAACAAAAACAAGAAATACGCGACTAAGCTTGCTGTACGTAAACTATATTGAATTTCATGGTTAAAACGATTCTTTTATTTTTTGAAAAATGTCAACTCGACAACATGTGTTCAACATTGCACACGCATATGGACGAGGTGAAAAGCAGTAGAGCAGACGAGGAAAAAAAATTAAAGCGGCACAGACAGACAGAGAGAGGCGACTTTAGCGAAATAAAAATCATGTGCTACGAACGATCGAGACTACGGTAGTTCTGACCGGTCGCGTGCATAAATTTACTGCCTCGCATGCCTAACATAGTTGAATGATTCATCCATAACTCCGTGTACTCGCGTAAGGTAATAATAATAATAATGCATAAACGTGCTTCGTGTACAACATCCTTTAGCACTGGCGGCGAAATTTTTTTGTCGCGTCATGCACACTTGGCGCACACTTGGGAGGCAGCAAAGTTGCAGACGACGGATACATACGCGGACTGCTGCCGTCTTGAAATTTTTTTCCACTACTCTTTCCTCTTGGTAATTAAAAAATATTTGAAAAAAAAGCAGCAGCGAAACCAGACAGCTCCGGATGAAATTTTACACAGAAGCTGATGAAAATCGCAAGAGTTAGAGGAAAAGATCGCGAGAAAATAATGCACGCGAAGACGACAGCCTTGGCCCACTTTCACTCGCTCAAATAGTCATGGACAGCTTGCGGATCAACGCACATAATAAAAACTTACGAGAACTATAATCAGAGAGCAGTCAGCAGCAATGATCGGACGCACGAGTTCGTGTGTGCAGACTGTACGGGAAAACGATTGGAGTCGCGAAAAAACTGTTTTGCGTACCGGCGGCGATCCTCGCACTACGCGCGTTTTGTCAAGTCCTAGCCTGTCTGTGCTGCTGCAGAACTTGTGCCTGGAAAAGGCGCGTGCGTGCAATGCTTCTCGCTTTCAGACTATATACTGGCATATGAGTAATGAGCCACTACGATATACACACACGCATACTACGATGATTATTATTACTCACGACGTATACATGTACACGCGAAAGAGAGAAATACAGAGAGAGAGAGAGAGAGAGCGCGAGAGAGACGCACACACAAGTCAATATCGAGGCGTAAAGGCAAAAAGGGTGTTGAGGGTGGGGGCAGTTGCAGACTGCAGAATGTGCTGCATGGCCCCGCATTATGTGTACATGTACTGCCAATCCATTTTAATATGTATTGCACATACGTACATGACACTCACGCACACACGCACACGCACGCATGCAATACACACAGCAAACTCCGAGGAAAGCAGCAGCAGCTGCAGATACTCCCGAGTTCTCAAACAATCCCGACCTCGGAGGTAATGTTTGTACGTTATACGTATGATATACGTGCGTTATGTGTGCGGGGGTATTCCAGCCAAGGGTAACTAACCTGTGTCGTGTGGACGTCGCGTTTCCTCGCCTCGAGCACACGATGACGCCGCCGACGCAGTCGAGAGCTGCACCACCACTGTCACCGACGTTTATTATTACAACTTAATCTATGTATGAAAAATATTGCACCCTCTCTGGTCGGCCCTCGAGCGACTGTCAAGCGATGCCCCCCCTGCCTTGTACTGCTGCTGCTGCGGCTGGGCAAGACGTTGTCGATGTTGTCTGTATCGCGTGCGCACCAAAACTCGGCAGCAGCTTTTTTTCCGTTTATTATTATTATATGTATCTCCGACCTGAGATCCTTGTTCGAGAGGCGTCTGCAAGCCTATTTTATACACGATACATATAGAGGCAGCGACTAGTAGCTATATATATTATATATATTGTATAATGCACACAACGGTATCGCGCTTGGACACTGCGTACATCCGTGTGTGTATATATATTATGATGATCACAAAACGGTCGTGGCCGTGTGTCGTCGCGGGCGAACGTGTGCTGTTGTAGTACCCCGAGATCCTATCCTACTAAGCTCCTATGTAATGCACACACACGCGCACACAAACTCATACACAGTCCGAGAATGACCGTGACACTTGCTATCAATCACGTTTTTTCTTTGCTTCTTCTGTTTCGCTTTGACGCTTGGTTCGTTGCGATTGTCGCGGATTCAAAAATTATTGCCTCGATTCGCAACGACGAAAAAATGTTCTCAGCGGGTCAGCGCGCGTGCGAGGCTGCTGCTGCTGTTGCGATGACAAGCGTGTGCTGCTGCATGTCACGACGATCGACGTCGTTGGTCGTTGCTTTTGTCGCCGTTAGGCCGATTGATAATGATACGTTGTTATTTTACGCAAGATTATATTGTGGAAAGAGAGGCGCGTCACACACTATAAAGTCCGCGAGGAGACATAGAGTAAGAGAGAAACTGTAGCAACTGTATCGTAACGTAGTAGTGCGATTTTTAAGAGGCTATGTGTGCCTCGCGACTTCACGCTACTATTCGCATGCGAGCAAAAGAGAGAGAGAGCGCGCGAATATCTGCCCGTGCTGCGTGCACATTTACCAATGTCTGTCTGTGTGTGTGTGTGTATACACTATACAGTATATGTATGCGTTCCTGGAAATTTGGAAAGTCCCGCGCTTGTGGAGGCATCTTTGGTCGATAAGGTAAACAGCTCTCTGTATTTTTTTGCAAACCATTGTTATTATTATTAAAAAAAAAGCGCGCGAAATTATTATCTCATGGATGTGGATTGTGGGCGGCTGTTGCGGATTGCATATTATTAGCCAAATTGTTTGTGTTATGTCTGCGGCGAGAGGTTTAATTATTGTATGCGTTGGATATCTAATGCCCGTCGAAACGACAGATTGCGAGATAACGCGACAACCCGCGTATCGCTCCGAGCTTTGTCATGAAAAAAGCGTTGTTTACTTTAAAAGCGATGGACAAGCTTGAAAGCAGCTTTTTCTCTCTCTTATATCTCTGTTATATATTCAAAGTGCAATTAACGCTGATTATTTCAATCGCGATGTTTGTGTATAGAAATCGTAATTTCCAGCTTATCTTAATTAACGTCAATTTGTTGGGGCCCAAAATTTGATAAGGAAATTAAAATGTATCACATTACCTGAAATGGGAGTAATGGGTAGAAAGTAAAGCATCGTTGATTTCATTCCAAATTAAATTTCTTCATTTATTATACGAAATTTTCATTATACGATATTGTTGAATTATATAATACACAAATATTAAAGTGAGAGTACATTAATATTTACGTATTACAGTAGCTGCAGCAAAACTACAGTGAGAAAAAAAATCATTCCGCAGGATTATCGATGTTATAGTTCGTGATAATACATGTAAATATAATAGTCTAAGATGATCCGCTACGGTTTCACTTTTTTTTCCTTAAAAAGTATAAATGCAAGGAAATTTTTTTCACTCTCCAAGACGTTAAACCGTCTTTGACGATTGATTCGTTTACTTACTCGATAATTCGAAAAAATTGACTCTATTCGTGGACCCGAGATTTATGACCATGTATACAAGTGAGCGTTATGTGTGCTGCTGTACGCGTGTAAAAAAAATTTCCTCGCATTACAAAAATTATAATAATGTTCGAAAGAATTCCTGTAGCCCAACTTATCGCTTAATATTTGCAATTGGCATCGCTGTGCTGCGAAGCCGAAACGAAAATTACGCAGTATAATTAATAAATATAATGCAACATTTTATAAAACATCCCAGCTCAAAGTGTGTTCGATCGAGCGAAATATTTTCTTATTAATTTTCATTACTTTTGTTTTCTTAAAAATTTACCTTTATGTATATAATCACCATGGTATTTATACACATAAACGAACGGTACATCATTGGTTTCAAGTGTAAGAAATTTTTTTTTAGTTTTTTAAGTATTATTTTAAGATTTTTTTTTATTTTGTTATATTATACCATATCAACACAGATACTAGTGTATCAATATTATCATCGGTACATCATAATATGTATATATTTTTATATATAAATATTATTTGTATAAAGTGACATGTTTAACATGCAATTAATCTGAAGCTTGCACAAACAATGTACTTGCTGCGCTTTTTACTTCCCATTGTTTACACAGCCGTCTTTAGTTCGATATATTAATTATTTTTTACCATTATCTTTGTATTTTTGTTTCTGTTATCTTTTATTTTTTCAGTCTAGTTACTCGGTGTTACACACAATAGTTTTTTCCCTGGCGACTTTCCAAGTCGTTTTTGGAAATTCATCATTACGTACTAGTGATTTAAAAATTGTGAAAAATCAACTAAAATACACGTATCGTAATGTTCGACACTTCAGTTACGAGTTAGCAAAATATAAAAGTAAAAAATTATTTCTGTACTTCATCAGACATTCTTCATTACTATCATTTTTAAAACAAATGAAAAAATACGTCATTAGCAAAAACTAATGTGAAAACGTCGAGTGATTTTGTAGTTAATTTCATAACTCGATTGCCAGGGATAAAACGTATAGATGGGAGACGTGCGAGTAAAGCGACCAAGTACTTGCCATTTTAAGAGATTCGGCGTAAAAATCCATTTTCATACTAAAATCATTTTTGAACTTGCAACAAATTTTGCGATTGAAGCAGTTACTAAAAGTTACAATAAAATACGACGACAGAGTTTTTCCAAAAATACATGCTTGCATTATATTTTCACAACCAAACTATATAAATCATCAAATACATTTTGTCCTTCGTATTGCAGTTTTGTAACAATGGAAAATTTACTATTGACATGCTCTTACAATCTTTTTTCTTCCTACCATTACAATTTTACGATGTACATAGCAATTACGAAGAATAACATAAGATTTGAATAAAAAAATAAAATAACTCAACCTCATTGCACTAATTTATTTTGCCCGAAGATAAATTGGATGTGTATCAAAAAGTACACAACCATCCAAGTTGATGTAAAATAATCCAACTGCATAGTGTATTTCAACTTTCCGGATGACTTCGGTAAAAAATCGATATATTATATGAAAGCTTCCAATAAAACTGGAAACTAGCATATAATCGGCTACACCATTATGATTCATAATGAAAACGAAGCACAATTAAAACATATTTAAATTTGTAAATTTACAACTTTCTTTTCATTTTTTTCTCAACTTTAGCACCATTTAGTAAGAATGGTGAAAAGGAAAAATATTAACGAATACGCACGACAACGAATTAATAATTCTTTCTTTTTCCAAGCATAGTACGGTTTGCGTATGTAAACTTGAAATTAATAAAAAAATAATAATAATTAATATTTTTAAACAATCAATATACAACAGATGAAAAACAAAATATAATAAATAATTCACGCTATCTGACAGAAATAAATAATTTCCCCGTCACTACTCCACACTTAATTGCGTAAAATGGAATTTTTGAAACCTAAACCGATAACGATTTAAAATTCACAAACAGTATCATAATTTCATTTGTGTAAACGCAGGAAGCCAATGTGACTGTTTTATAATATAAATGTGTATTACATATATTTCGCTCGAAAGCAAATGTTCATATAATCGAACTCAATAGATAAATTCATCTACAGATATTAACGAAGAATTGTTAAAAAAAAAGAACATCGAACAATAATCCCGACGATTGAAAATAACTCTCTTAGTTGGACTTTAGAGTTTTTTTTGTGGTTTTACAAACAAAGTTTTCAAGTTACTTGTAATTTGATATTTTTCACATCGTGCTTGCAATAATTGCTGATTAACAGTCTTCATCGTTTATCGATTTTATTTGAGATAATTACATTCTAATGTATATTTTTATACTTTAATATTCTATTTAATGATTCAAAATATAAAAGAGAAAAATGCTTTGCTTTTCAATCTATACTTAGGCACGACATACAAGTTTTTTGCGCGCTTTTGTATTAAGAGTAAAAAAGTGGAAAAAATTTCTGTATATCAACAAAAAAATTTTCATCACACCCTTTGCTTGTAGATTTACTGCATTATTATGATACAATCCTATTAACTATGACGGACAATGATGAAAAGTTTAACAGTGCGTGGGTAAAATGCATCCACAAACAGCGTCGTATGATGGGCCAAACGAAGCACTTTTCTCGTTTCTATTGCATATTTTCTTGAAAAATGATACTTTTTAAAAAATTTCTATTAACATACTAATAACGTGTAAAGCATGGTATATAGAAATTTACTTTTTTTCTTTCAGGAACGCTTGAACTCATATTGCACCCAAACGACTAAAATTGTACAATTTCTTCGACGTCTCATTTGAATAATGACATGAATATATTTCGTTACGATTATAAATTTCTAGATTAAAATATTTTTGATACATCATCAAATTTATGCTGACATGTAAAATCTAGACACTTGCTACAATTTTGAGATTACCACAAAATCGCAATAATTCAATTTTAAAACAATTGATTTTTTAAATAATTCAATACTAATTTTTAGTAATATAATATATTTGAGCGCAAAACTTCAGCGGTTTGTAATGTTTTAAAACAGAACTGCATTGATGTATTTAAAAAAATTTTGATTTTATAAAAACAATCGATTTTTAATACTTATTTCCCCAATCGTTTCATGTACATGATAATTATTACTTTTTAACGTGAATTTATGATTTCATAAAATGAGAAATATCCATGATCTCATCGTCGATCTTTATGATCCTCTCGCACAATAAATATCATGTTGAGCGATATCAAAAATGATTTTCGCATTTCAACTGCTTGATATTTTCTATATAAATAAATATACTACACTCTTGTCATGTTTATAAAACATTGACGATCAATTTCTGTTAAATTTTAACAAATATACCTCCCCGTACCGTAATATATATATTTTTTGCAAAACAAATTCTAAATAGTACTTTTCGTTTTAGATACAATTCACGAACTATATATATATCTATTTTTTTTCTCGTATAATATATAGAATGACTATAGTATTACGAAGAGCCGTCTCTACGTAAATTCTATCAGTTAGCTATATTTTTTTTAATTAGCAAACTCTCGTCAGTTTGAAAAACTCCGACCCGAGATTAAAATGTAAAATGTTGTAATATAAAACATTTTGAAAAAAATTTTTCATTGCAATTACGAGCTACGTACGAATTTTCACAGTTTTTAAATAAATTTGTTTCCAATTTCTAAATTGGTTAAAAAATTATCTATTCGAATATTTACGCTCGACCTCACTGAGGTTTTGTTCAACAAAAAGTACAACGCACAGTAGTGTGAAAATTCGTAGTTCCAAGAGCGCAGCATCGTAGTTTTTCATCGAAAATGACGATGCTTTTCATGACTTTTAAATGTATAGGCGATTTTGTCTATTTACAAAGAAATTGATTAAAAGTACGAATAATTTTGTCGACGAAAATTATAATAAAGCGTGATTCTCAACGATGCTATGATTTAGTTAACTTTGAACAACAGGCGAGCGATTCAAAGATGTCCTGTCTAACATTTCTTCGGGTCTTCTTCCGTAGACCAGTGCTTCTCTTGTTCTTTCAACTCCGACTCCCAGCGCAGTTCAAACTCTCGCATGTCATTCGCAATTTCCGTTTCGTACGTGTCCTCCTTAATTTTTTCATTAATTACGTTATTCAAATAACTCGAGAAGGACAGCATCAGTTGATGATTCCTTGATAATTCGGGAATAAAATCGTGACAGTTGTCAGTTATACTCACGTCATCCAGCTTAAAATCTCTCTTCGAATTCGGACTTAAAAGTAAATTGGTGGATGGTTGAATCCAAGCCGTATTGCTATAAGGACTCCAATTGTACACGTCTTTCTCTTTTTCTCGGATCCCGGCCTCAATCATTTGCAACTCTTGAGCTAGTCTTTCATGTTCGGTATAAGCTGCGCCTTGCGTTGCGAGCTATTGCGGAAAAATAGCATTAGTAGTTCAATATCATTCGAGCGAAAACTTCTCGGAAATAATTTCTCTACGAAATAATTGCTTACCTTTAGATCGTTGATTTTCTTTTCTAAATGTTTCAATTGCTGCTTCACTTTTTGCGATTCGATGATGATACTATGGAAAAAATGCAAGACATTATTTATCCTGAAATATATTTTTACAATAATGTACTAGTTTTAGCTACATACTCTTTTGACATGCAATCTTGACGAGATATTTGCACTTGAGAACTACCATCGGGCAAAGTACAATTTAGTGTGATGTAAGCATCGTTCAAATTTGAATTTGTCAAATTTTGAATTCCTCCATTTGGATTGACACCGTTGAATGCTGGATTAAAATTTTACATAATAAGTTCTGATTTCAAAAGTATTCAACATTGATTTATTTGAAGGTATATTCGAGAAATCTTACTTTGATTATAAAATCGATTAGTCAAAGGGCTGGTTGCGGGTACGGGCCGGATATTAGGTATTGCAGTTTGAACTCCATCGTTGTATATTGCATTTTGTTGCATGCTGTTTGTAGGTCTGCCAAATTTTAAAGTATTAAAAGTTATTATACAACCGTAAAATCATAATACGATTAAAAAAGAATAATTGCAGGGCCTCTCACCTCAATATTGATTTGGATAATCTCGATATTGGTCCATACTTGTTAGCCAACGAAGCCTCAAATGGTACGAATTCATCGTCGTATACGTTAGAATCATTGCAAATGTAATTATTGCCAAAATTGAAAGTTCCTGTTGTATTGTTCTGATTGGACAGAGAATTCGTCCAAATAGAATAATCGGAATTCAGCGGGTCATTGTGAATGTCGTGATAATTCTTGAAAATTATTTGTTTTGTCAGTATTATTGCAAACTAACGACTTCATAAAGTCATTGATAGTAAATAAAACTTACTGCGTTTACCTGCGGAGGCTTGCCAACAATATTTTCCAATTGATTGATAATTTCCATTCTACGCTGCAACAGCACGGCCAATGACTTAGCAGCTGTCCTCTGCTTTCTGTTATTGTTATTGTTGTTAGGGTAAACATTTTGGATGTTCGCAGCTAGTTGCTGTTGCTGTTGCTGCTGTTGAACTACGCCGGCATCCCAGAGATGTAAATTGGCTGTTGCATAATCCAGCGGTGTGCCGATAAAATGAGCGGGCGAATCTTTCTGCGGAGAGATACGCGGCACTGATTGATTGCCTGGGCTCGAGCAATTTAGCAGAGTCACGTTAACCGGAACCGGTTGTTGCAATGAACTTAGCCGGTTGGGGTGATTGAAATCTGAAAAAAGATGAATTGATGAATTAACAAATATTTGTTACGGTCGTTCGTTGTTTTTATATGCATTCTCGATGCTTACTGTCCCGATGCGCGTTCGGATGATTTTTCGAAAACCCATTATCCTTGCCTTTAAATCCTTTTACGGGTCTATCCATACTGACGCTCTTTTCTTTGTTTTCTCTCGATGGTTTGCGACTTTTGGCTCGATACTTTTCTAGTTCCGACTCGCTGTGAGCAAACGTACAGCTCGTGGTGCGCGGACAGGAACCACGGAGAATCAAGTCGCGACACATACTGACTTTGTATCTTGACATCCCAGAGCCTCCGTTACCGTTGCAACCGTTACCATAATTAATACTGGGAGAATCTTGGGATTTATTACGATTTCCATGTTGTTGAATGAAATCAACCAAAGCCGTCACGACGATGTTGATAGCTTCTAACGCTGCACGGGTATCTACCCACGATGGTGGTTCCGATTCTGTAAATTATTTTTTTATTCAAATAGACCGTTTCTTGCTTTTAAGAGTAAAATTATATGTAAATTTAAAGAAGTACAAACCGGGACTAGGATCGATAGCGGCCAAAAGCTCTAGGTGCGGTCGTAAGCTACTGAGTTGTACCGGGTCGGGCGTCTTTAGAAGAGCAGTTACCAATTCTTGTACACTTTGAGCAAATGATTGAGGTGTTTGCAATTTATCGATAATACTTTGCATGTGAGACTTGCGACCCGTATCGCCGTAAAGTAAAGCCGACCATTGATCCGGGGCTATGCGCAATCCTGACTCCGTTGCTATCTGAACTATCTGAGCGTCGTGTTCGCGACGAAGTGCTTCGTAAGTTCGAAATTCTTCCTTCAGTTGCATTAACGATGAATCGCCTTCGCGTTTAGACACCTGTACTCAAAATAATCAATATTATAAATTATTTTTTCGGAGATTACATTTTTTTTATTTAAATGTAAAATTTTTACCTTAAAACAACTTGCTCTGTAAAGTAATTGTACTACATGACCAATACTGGTTTTAGAAGCTTGCGGAAATTGCGGTTCCAAACGTTGAACAACAAACATAACTAAGACTTTTCTAGATAAAGCTGAACCATCTTCTAAAGCTAAAAGAACTAATTTCAGCACCTCTTCTTGCATACCTTAATAAAAATACAAGAAACAATGAAGGTGAAGTTTAACAATAAAAAGAGAGGTGTGGCAAAAAGAATAATTTGAAAAAATATTGTAACAAACCAGGTCCTAAAAATTGACATCCTCTTGCTCTGACAGCAGCCCAGAGGTTTGCGCTGAGCTGCTGTGGGTTCTGATGTTGCAAAATAAGTTCTGTCACTGATCTTTCTCCTAAACTTCTTGCTGCTCTGACTGCTCTTGCCCTTCCCTCTGGTTCAACAAGTTGACATCCAACTAGAGTTACAAGTTTTCTTTGCATTGGCCTAGATACTATGCCAATTCCTGTAAAAAAAGTACTTCATGGCAGAAAAAGTTCATCTTATTAAAATACAAATTTAAACCCAAATAAATACATACCGGTTGCATTATTTGATGTAACTTGGCATGGTTTGAGGTAGAGTGCAAGCTCCTCAATACATTGCTTTGCCACAAGATAATGTGCATAGTCTTCAGGGGACAAGAGTGATTGAAATGTTTCCGAGACATTATTGCTTGGTATTGAATTACCAACCAGTTGTAGCAAAGCTTCATTAACAGGTAACTTTTCTATCTCTGTGTTGATTGGACTCTGCAAATTGTGTAAGCACCGTATTGATGTAATATCTTGATATAATTAGATAATCTTGATATTTTTAAAATATAATGTTTAGTAATCAAAACTTACTTGATCAAAGGGACACTGCTTGCGTGGGAGACTTGTCAAGCAGGTGTAGCATATTGTGTGACCACATCCTAAAGATATAGGTCCACGAACAGCCACATCAAAGTCATTGCAGCAAGCAGGACAAGAAAGAAATTCAGTCCACTGTGGTGCCTGTATTGGCATTCTGTAAGAATGAAAAATGATCAACATCAATAAACTTCAAATCTTTCAATTCACTTGAATCCTGTTCTCTATTATTTGTTTTTCATAAGTTGCTTGATTTGAGAGCAGAGCATCTTATATCTAATATCGTTTTGTTATAAGTGTCAATCAATTCACTACTTAATTGAAATTGTAAAAATAAACCAATTCATATTGAATCATGATAACAAGAAATTAAGAATCCCAAAGAGAGCTTATCAATTCGAATGATGTTACAGCACAACTTTCTCTTTTACTACTTGCAGCGGCCTAAAAAATTTAACACTTTTTTTATAACCAAAGAAAAGTCATTGAAAATGAAGAAAAAAACAGAAGAAAAAACAGCATCAAACTGTCAAGGCTTGACCACGGAAACGTACATAAATCGAGAATCTCTCCCGAGACTTTCCTATTTGTTGATAACCTATTTTTCTTTCTCTGCATAACTTGCTATCTGACCACTTGATTGTCTATAAATAATCCCGATTTTTCACTATACACACGACACACGCACATACTCTCGTTTCTTTTCTCTCTTTCTCTCCCGATCTCGTTTTTATAAAAGAAACACACGGCACACACGGCTCTCGCTCTTTCTCGCGACTTTATTGTGCTTACACTTTTGCAGGGAGCGAGCCAGACAGCGAGCGAGAGAGAGAGAGAGAGAGAAAGAAAAAAAAACAACTCAAACGTCACTCTATGCAATGTTTCCGCCGTTATCATATGTTTTTATTAAATGCGTTGAAAAATCGGCTATTCAGCCGTTCGCCAATGTTCGAGAGCTTCGAAAATGAATAAATTGAGCGAGACGAGAAAAAATAAAGGGAAGAATTGCGTTTTACAAGCGCGAAAAGCCAATGTACGCGAGAAATAAATAAAGAGAGAGAGACGGAGAAAAGATATGAAACGTTTAACTACGTCACAACTGCGTGTGCAGTGCGAGAAATGAAGGCAGTAGCTTTATTCGGTATTCTTCATTACAATAGAAAAGAACTGCGAAGAAATTCCGTTGTATGCAGCTTATTCGTGTCTATAGCCTGTGTACTGTATGTGCGTGCTTGCAGCGTACATTATATAGAGAGAGAGAGAGAGAGAGAGAGAGAAAAAGGAAAGAAAAAAAGAAAACAAATGGACACGCGAAGAGCTGTCATCGCTCGACTCGCCGTATAAACACCGTAACATACACTGTTGTGCGCGACATAACAGCACACGCATTAACATATCTTTTGGCCCGTACTAATAGTGCATGTCTCGCTCACGTCGCGCGGCATGTTGAATCGTTAAAGGGAACGTCATCGCTCGCGCTACACCCAAAAATACCTGCGGTGATATGCACGCACGCACATAAGTATATACCTATACGCACACACAGACACACACACACACACACACTCACACTCACTGCTGCTCTATGCGAGTAGAGATGCCACCAGGCATGCGATTACTCACCTCGTTCAGCCACATAGAAAACATCACACACGACAATATTTATGTTAATCCACGCCAATTGTTCCGTGGATGGGATAAGTAATTTTGCACGATCGATGGGGCACCAAAACCTCGACTTGACAGATAAAAAAGAGAAAGAAACGAACGGCGCACACGTTTTATTGCAATTCACAATATATCGTTTTTACGTCGGACTTTTAACTGCGCGACTGTGTACTATTTCAGCGTATTGCGGTGACTGACTGGCTCGCTCGGGCAGCGCAGCTCAGGCTCGCGATGTGTATGTATTGTGTATAATCATAACTGCACAGTTGCTCACGACGTCGTCCGTCGTCGAGCAGTTCGCGCAATGTATACAGTCAGTAGCAGCAGTATACACATATACAGCAGGTATGTTTTGTCAATGCAAGAGATAACGGTGCGGCAGATGGCGAGTCATCTTTGCCGATGCCAGAAAGATCCACTGGCTCGCGCAAGCGGCGGCGCGATCTGCGCTATCTGCGCTCTGCCTAACAAAAAGATGACGATAAAGTCATCTACCGTTGCGACAATGGCAAGCGAAAGATAATACGCACCCGGGCGCTTGCAAACGTCAGTTTTGAAATTTTGCGGACGCAATTTCCACGGGCTGAAAAGTAAGTAAACGGTATTTTTAAAAATGTAATCAATTTATTACAATTTACACGTATTTACAACTGTCGCGCATGATCATTTTGTTTCAGAACAAAAATGCGTGAATTTTTTCCGTTGGAAATTGCTGATCCAGAACTTTGAATTGGAAGGCGCAGTTATTTCGTTCTTCGGTCATATTGACTTCGTGATAGCAAACGCTCAGCAGGTACAGGGTGATTTTTAATTTGTTATTGGCGTCTAGTTTTTGAAGCAACTTTTTGGCTTTGAGCAAGTACTTGATGGCGTCGTGCAGCATGTCTTTCTCATCCTCGTCCTTTTGTCTCGTCGCATTGGCTATCAAACATTTGGCGTAAGTAATGTGGGCTCTTGCTTGATCGTACAAGCCACCGTGGGCGAGTACTTTTATCAATGAATCTTTGACATTTTTCAAAGCTTGAAATGGCATTTGTAACAATAGTTGAACATTCACGATGTGCATGTTGACCAATGCCTCGTAGTAAGACAAATGATTCTTTTTTGCTATATCCAAGGCATTATTGAGTAATAATATACAATTTGTTGCTGATTGTGGATTCCCAGCAGCTACAGAGCCGCATTTGATTTGATTGATGAGTAATTTGACTCTGATTTTATGTAAAGCAATAGTATCTTCCATGGCTTCTAATTCATAAGCAAGTTTGAGAGCTTCAGAAAAACTATGCCTTGCAAAGTACACTTCTGCCAATCTATTTGAAAACATTTGGTCATTAAAATATTGATATTCTCGATTTAATGTTATGAATATTAATGCCAAGCTTCATTTATATTTACCTAAATTTACTTTCAGTTTTATCTAGACTTGATATTTGCATTGCAATTTCTTCAGCTGCTGACCATTTTTCATTTCTAATTAATTTATCAAATTCATGCAGCTGTTCGCTTAAAGACCATATTCTATTGCTGGGTTTATTAGGAAACCTTTCTTTGGCATGACCCAGTACAACATTAGCAAGTGCATATTCACCCATTTCATGCAAAATATTAGCTATAGTGACCACAGCTTGGCAAGTTGATGGTCCATTGAACATTAATTGTTTCTTTTCTCCAGAATTAAAAAGTAAAAGAAGTTGGGCACATATAGATGACATTTCTGTTTTACCATAATATGCCCATAGGGCAGTCTTCTCTGCATAAATCATAGACATCAGATCAACCATTGAATGTTCGTAGTTGAGATGATCAGACCTCATGAGCGCCTATAAGTATTAATTTAATAGTATGAAAGTATTAAAATTGTTTTTATAAATCATCATTTAGTGCATCATTGTTTTTAATAATAATTACCTCAAAAACATTTACTGGTTCTTGTCCTTCCATTGCTAAATCATGAGCAGCTGCTATAAGAGCTAAACTAGAAGTATGAGCCATTCCCAATGAATTTGCTTTAGCCATTGATCTTGCAATCAGAGAAGATCTGAAAAAATTTTTTTTTTTACAAAATATGTTAAAATAGAAAATCTTCAATAAACAAGGGAATAATTTGAAAAAAAAACTTTACTTGTTTTTATCCATCAAGTAATACACCCATGAGTGAGCTAATTGTAAACAAATATTATCTCCTGCTTCTTGGGCCAACATAATAGTTTCTTTTAAAGCTAATCGAGCTAATTCTCTGAAAGGGATTTTTTTAGTTTTATAAATTATATTTAACAGTTTTATACTTATTAAAAATTTTATCATTACTTATAGCCAAATTGAGCATGGAGAGCAGCAAGGTTTAAAGCAGCATATCTGAAAGTTCTGAGTTTGTCTTCAGAAACTGGACGGTTATCGACTGGTGTAAGCCTATCAAAACAGTGGTACAAACTTTCCAATGCGCCACAATATTCGTTTACTCTTAAGCAATTAAGATAGCTTAAGTAATGCTGAAATTGAAAGTAATATATTATACCATAATTATAAAATTGGGTTATTATTGACTTACTGCTTCAGCATAGTATGGACTACTGCTTAACAGATCTTTCACAAGACTTTGCAGTTCTGCAGGTGGAAGTGCTTTGTGTTCATCAGTAAGTAAAGCATGAGCTTGTTGAGCCACAAGTAACTCTGCTTGTCTGCCTCCCCATTCATTATCGCTGAAAAGTACACAAAATTAAAATTCAATTTATGAAAGATTTAAACAAATTTATTTACTTGTTGAATAACGTTTGATCTTTCTCAGATCTATCCATAGAAATGGTGTAATCACTGTTTTCATCTACATATGCTTGTAAATCTTCAAAAAGTGATACTATTTTGTAAAAGTTCAACTTTTCAAACAACATAATTGCTCGTCTTACATAGAGTCCAAGAACCGAATGTTTATTTAGCTTTTCAGAATCCTCTGTAACAGATTTCATAAGCACCCCCAAACTGTCAAATAGGTCTAGTAGCTCTTTAACACCTTCTGTACAAATGAACTCCAAATCTATAGATAGCTGATGGCTCAAGCGTTGTAATATAAAGTCTGAAGAGTCAATAATTTTGAACAAAGATTTTTTATTCAAATCCGGAGACTAAAAAATATACAAAAATTATTGTCTTTGTTTTAATAAACTTTGTCATCAAACTGAATTACCTGTATTAATTTAAGGGACGCCACACAAAAATCTCTTCTCTCAATGACAGCTAAATTATGAAAAAAATAAATATGAGTCAAGTAAATAAACAGATTACAGAACTATACAAAAATCTTACTTTTGTTTGTTTCATTACAGTACAACTTGATGAACATGAGGACAGCTACTTTATAAGGAGTCAAAGATTCCTTTTGAGTTTTCTTGGCAGAGCCATCAATGTTTGCAAATTCTTTATTCATTTTTACTAGTTGGTCGATTAGTGTATTCTTAAACTAACTTAAAATAAATTTTTTTTACAATTTTTCAACTTGTTTTGTACAATAATTACAAACTACGAGTGATGTTTTTCATGTTCAATTGAATGTAAACAAAAGTGACGCCCGGCACATTCTGCTGTAGCCAAAATATTTCGACCATGCGTTATTTTTGACCTACAGTTGGCGCTTGCGCCACAAATGAGAAATCAGCTGGTCTGCTCCAAATTTTCGAAATCCACGTATGTTAATATACAGCCCAAGGGATTACTGTAAAAGTTGACAATTACCTCTTTTTCAATTGCTTTCACTTGAAAGTTATTCTATGAACGACTTAGTAATTATTTTTCTAATGAGTTATTCAGTACTCATCGGCATGCGATTAAAATTGACTAAAAATGGCATTCAATTCCTGCAAATCAAAGGTGTTACGTAGATTGTTGATTTTTTTATCTTTTATAAGACACTCGACTTGTTATGTCAACTCAAAGATCCCCTCCCGCAGACCATAACATTTCCGCAACAACCAACCAGAGTCCAGTCAACTGCTCACTGGAGAATGCATTTTAGGCCATCCGCACATTTGTGCGAATTGTTTTAGCTCTCGAGTGCTTCGTGCAGTTTTATCGCCAGAGCGACGTGGGAGAGGTTATAAGTATAGATTTCACGAAATTAACGTCGAGTGGTGAGCTGTCATCTGTCGAATTCAAAACAAACACAAGCACACGAAAAAGCTCAACTATGTAACACCTGTAGAGCTGGGGCAGTGGCGTCTTATATATTATCAGCACTCGACGTTTCGTTTCTCGCCACTACACTGTACTCGTTTGAGTACTAAGGTAAATCTGTGGTTGATTGCATAAATTAATATTTTACCTGTACTTCGTGCTACGACTTTCACTTTTTCATCTGCTTCGAATTTAATGCTTTTAATTAAAAAGCCGTAAAATTTAATTCCGTGCGATATAAAACTTGACCCCATTGTCTACTAAGGTATTAATAATATAATAGGATTGCAATATGCATATATTATGAAGTAATATATTGGGTCACACGTCATGCCAAGCTGTAGTCATAAGTTTTCTCAGACTCCCTTAAAAAGTATGAACTTTCTTCATTTCTTATTTTTTGCAGCAGAATGTCAAGTTTAGAAGCAAGTGCTACTAGCTGTGTCAGCGAAGTGACTCTTGCTATAAGCAGGACCAAACTTTCAAATCCAGTTGATAATTCAAGAGTTTTAGATAGTCCTGATTCATCGAGTTCTGGAAATTCAAATTCCTTCACTATACAGAGATATGATTATACAGATGATGAAAGTCAGAATGGAAATTCAGAATATCAAGAATCACAAGAATCGAGTACCAATGATAATGATTTGAGAATACCTATCGTTGGCTATGAAGTTATGGAAGAAAGAGCTAGATTTACAGTACGTAAAAAAAATATAGAAAATAATCAATGATTTTTTTCCTTAGTAAAAAGATTGATTTTTGTATTAGGTGTACAAATTAAAAGTTGAGTTCAAAAATGGAAATTGCTGGTTTGTGTTTCGCCGTTATACAGATTTTGTCCGCTTGCTCGCACAGCTTAAAAGACTAAAAGCTCCAATTTCTCATCTTTCGTTACCCAGAAAAAAGTGGATTGGTGATAATTTTGCCCCCAGCTTTCTCGAAGATAGAATTACAGGTTTACAGTCTTTTGTCAATGGGCTGTTAAATAGTTCAGATTTAGTTATATTACCTTGTGTGAGAGAATTTTTTTGTCTTGATGAACCACCAGCTTTATCAGATACTGTAGAAGAATCAAGGGTAAGCCTTTCATAATTTAAAATGCTGAGATAATAATCATTTTCCTAATACATTTTATCTTAACAGGCTATTTTTGAAGCTCTTGAAGATACAATTTACCATTTACGTCAACAATTAAAAGAGAAAGAAAAAGCATTAGCATCTGAATCGACTCTTTGTAATGAATTAAGAAAAAAACTGCACACTCTCTTAAGGTAAAAATCATGTAATCTATTGAGATTGATCAACATTTGAAAAATACTAATTATATTAATTATTTGTAGTGAATCTCAAAACTGCTCAAATTGTGGCGCAATTAACAAGTACTCTAGTATGGATTTGGAGACTTGAGGAAAATATGCCTTGTACTTAATTTCATTTTATTACATGCACTTAAGTTAAAAAAAATTTCTTTTGCAAAACGATCTGATTCATAAGACTGATGGAAAAAAAGGAACAAACTTAACATTTCAGAATTATTTAGATTGCAAAAGATAGATTAATCAATCAAGTATTATGACAACTAAAGAGTTTTCAAAATAGAGTAAAGTGACCTTAGTACTGCCTTACTAGAATAAGCTAGTATTTCGAGAACTTCCAACTAAAGAATAACTTCCAAAAATGATTCGAGTATGTAATCATAAAAATCATATAAAAAATATTTGTTTCAGAAAATCTATTTATTTAGATAATGTGAATGGAATTATATGGCTGCTACATTGTTGAAAAATTATTTATTTTAATAAGTGATATTGTGAAAGTAAAATTGTTATAAAGAAAATTGTAATTTAATTTATGTACATCAAATTCTTTATGTTTTTGTTAAACTTAGTGAAGATAGAGTAGAATGATTATATATATTTCATAGCAAATGAGCTACTATCTACATAAGAAAAATACTATAGTTGAATAATATTTTTATACGATTTATTATATATTGTAGTTAAACAGTTGAGATAAAATTGAATTATAAATTTCTTGTACAAATATATATATAAATCAATATATGTATACTATTTTCTTAAGATAAAAAAAATGGTTAAAGAGTCAAAAAAAAGTATTATTTGTTTTTATTATCATGATTTTCATTTTTCACATCTTTGCCGTTTTTGTAACATTCAGTCCTGTATTATTCGGATTCTATACATATTTTTTTAAGGTACTATAAATACGCGAATCACGCGTATACAATTTTTTTACACTCGCTTAAAAATACATTACACAGTTTCAATGAAAAAATGTTCAACAGTGACTGTACAAACTTTCATTAGTTTACTATTAATAAAAATTTGCTCACTCTTGGCACACTTTATCGCCCGAGCGGCGAATATTATCGGAAAAGCAGCTTAAAAAAAAAACGAAAATAAAAACAAAGATTTCATACAACGAAGTAATGCACGTCTCGGACATGATTGATCTAGAATAGTTATACGGTACAGGAAAAAAACTTAAGTTTTATTTAAAATTAAAGGAAAAATACAGTAGGCTTAAAAAATGATAAAAAAATGCATCAGTGTACGATTTACGTTAGGCACTTATTATATCATTGAAAAAAAAAAGAATTGGATCGCGCGTGTGCCTATGCAGTTTTTTTCAGCGCATTACAGTAGTAGTAGTAGTAGTAGTACGGAATGAAATATCTTATCGCGTTCGCGGGCTATCGTAATCGCGCACAAGTGTAGAAGCTTGCGTACGATGAAACAATTAATTAATTCACAACCTCGCTTGTTTTTTTTTTCATTCGTAATATACATTTGACATCCTATACACAATTAATTCTTTTAAATATACATTTACTCGCTCGGCACCATGAAATTCACTTCAGCTATATAAACAAGGGAATGGATAAAAAGTTGTCTCGGTAAAAACTCTGTACACGGATTTTCTCACTTTCGCTTCCACCCTCGACATCCATATATATACTTGTGTATAATTGGCAGTTGATCGCTTAAACTAACATTAATCGACGCTAAAAAGCGCGAGATCCTATTATCTGGCGGCGATCTCGTCCTCGACGGCGAGCCTCTCCTTCTCGGCCGAGGCGGTCTGGTCCTCGCTGCTCGTGGCGCAGGAGCCGGTCGTCGAGTCGTCCTCGTCGGGAGCCACGACCATGAACAGCATCTGCACCAGATACGTGAGTTTGCCTGCGCGCGGGGGGAACAGAAGCGGACATATTAGATTTCGCAATTTTAGATACGAAGCGTAATTACAATAGTAATGAAATGAACGAGTTCTATGGCACGCGTAGAATTTTTATCGCCGTGCAGTGACGCAAATTCAGATTATTACGCGCTCGTGCAGCAGTGACCCTGCAGTCCGCTACTTATATCAAAGACAGAAAGCAGAGAAAAAAGAATGCCGCGCATCAAACGATCCGACTGCAGCTGCAGCAGAATTTCACTCACGTGTCAGCCCCACGTTAAATGAAAAAAAATACTCACGCGAAAATTTGCTCTTTCTCTTCTCGTAGACGTAGTAATGATAGACGACATAACCGACGAGCATGAAGCAGGCGATGAAGAGATACCGGTAGGTGGGGTAGGCGATCATCGGCGTGACCGAGAGGAAGATCGAGACGGCGAGTACGATGCAGGGTATGATGGTGGGCACCCTGTAGGGTCTCGGGGCGTGGGGCTTGGTACGCCTCATAACCAAAAGCGCGACCATGGCCAGGCCGTAGAACGCCCAGATGAGGAAACTGGCAAGCTCGATGAGCTCGGCTATGCTTCCGAAGACCATGCAGACGAGTGTGAGCAGGCCCTGGAGCACGACCGCAGCTGCCGGCGTCATGTGCTCGTAGTGCACCCAGCTGAAGAAGCGGGGAACGTGTCCTTCTTGTCCGGCGACGTAGCAGAGCCTGCAAAGAAAATCACGATGGAATTGGCTCTTCGCTCGTGTAGAAAAGTCAAAATTGTAATTGATCGAGCCTTACCTAGCGACTCCGAATTGAATGCTGAGTCCGCAGCCAAAAGTGGACACGGCCACGCCGAGGGGTATGGCGAAGGTCAGCCAGCCGGGCAGCACGACGTCGCCCCAGGCGATGGCCACGGCCGGGGCGTTGACCATCTCCGGGACCGTCAGGGCCGCCATGTACATGACGTTCATGCTCACGTAGAGCACCGTGATGACGGGCACCGCGACGAGGATGCTACGCAGGATGTTGATCTCCGGCTTCTTGACCTCCTCGGCGACGATGGCGGAGGCCGTCCAGCCGTCGTAGGCCCAGAGGCCGCTGTAGAAGGCCAGGGCGATCGCGCCGGGCGCCGTGTTGGTGTCCTTGAACGGCTCCGAGAGCAGCTCGGTGTGGCCCATCGAGAGCCAGAAGATGCCACCACCGATGACGAGGAAGCAGGCGGCCACCTTGCACGCCGTGCAGATGTTTTGAACCTTGACGTAGAGCTTGACGCTGATCACGTTGATGTAGACCATCAAGCCCAACGCGAGGATGGCGATCATTTTTTTTACCTGCATGAGAAAAAAATCATCGGTTTATATTCCACGATATGCCCAATGGTATTGTTGCATTTTTTACGTTATCGCAATTAATTATTGTACTCACGTATGCGTAAGTCTCTTCGTCGATCTCGCCGATGTAGCCGCGGAACGGCTGGACGAAGTACTCGGCGAAGGTGAGCGTGATCACGGCGACCTCGGCCGGGCGCAGGATGAACACGAATACCCAGGAGCATATGAATGCCGGCAGTTGGCCCAGGTAGCGATGCAGCGGCGAGAAGGCCTCGACGAAGTAGGCGTACTCGGCCCCGGAGCGCGGCACCACGGAGCTGAGCTCGGCGAAGGCCAGCGCCCCGAGCAGCGACAGCACGCCGCTGACGATCCAGACGATGAGGCAGAAGCCGATCGAGCCGGTCTCCTTGAGCGCCGTGCTCGGCGTGATGAAGATGCCCGAGCCTAGGGATGATTATTAGGGTACATGGTTACAGCGGAGTTTAGATAGGCAACGGTCAAATTTCCGCTCATTTTTTTTTTTTTTTTTTTGGCTAAATATTTTTAACTCATTATCGCGTGTGTTTAAAAAATATTTGCTCCGCTTATCGGTGCGCGCGCCCATTAGCACGAAGCAAACAAATTTCACATCTCGCTGCACACACAAAGACGGTTTTGCGCGCCTATATACATTATCGCGTTTAATCCTGCCTATTTACATGTATGTATACATGCTTACGCGAGTTTTAAATGCATCGATTAAACTCGCGATTGTCCTGAAATTTCCTGTCGCTCGAGATAAAAAAGGCACTCTCTCTCTCTCTCTCTCTTTCTCTCGATGACGCTTTGTAAGTATAGCGATTGGACGTTGCTCGACGCGAATCGAGAAGAATATATTGGCAATTTTCAAATAATAGCGAAACCCAGTGAACTTGAACATTGATTTGCGCGATAATTTACAGACAATTGATCATCGCTATGTCGTCGATTCAAATGCCATCCGGATGCGACGAAGCGCCTTCTATATGTGCGATCGATCGCAGCAGCGTGTTTATTTTTTATATCATCATCGTCACGGTCGTACCGTCTAATAACGGGCGCCGTTCCCCACGTCGACGTACGAGAAATTGTAATCGAGATCTTTTTTTCTTCTTATTCTTTTTTTTGCCTTATTATATTGTAGAATTTCCATTAGTGCAGGCGAGAACAACGACCGATAGTGATTTTTCTCCTCCGAGTAGATCATACAATAGAGAACCTATTCCGATTTTTAGCTCGCTCTATTTGCCGGGGCCAAGATTGTTTTTTCCCCATTATCGCCTGCAAAGCGATATACCGAGTGATTAGTTTTCGTTTATGATGAATCCATTTACACGGTTGATCAGCTATATAGCCGATGTACTAAAGATCTGATTGACTGGTCGAGTGCTTCACGCCGCGTGTTTATCGATAAAATTAATGCTAGCCATCATCGGCCGCATGTAATAGCCCACTTTATCTATTCATGAAATTCATAATTGATATCAATCAGCGCTCGTTCAGAGATTTCTCTTGCTCTCTTATCGAAATGCCGCAGCAGAGACCAAAAATAAAATCTCGTTGTAACATTTTCATCGTGCCGCGCCACGCATCGTGCACGCGGTAATACGTACACGAGCTTTCATTTTTTTTGTCGTCGCGATCGTCGCACGAAAAAAGAATGCGTCTATCAGCAGAAAACAGCGGAAAAAAATATTCAAACTGCACCGCTGATGATGCGTTACGGTATACAATAAGCCGATATAAAATTTTTTTTCTCCGTATTCGAAGTAAATTGAGAAATATACGCACGCTCGAGCGGCGCGGCGGCTAAAAGTATCGTTGCGCGGCGATAAACCGTGCTAAATTTAAAAAGGAAAAAAAAATAAAGAGGAGAACGAGAAAAGTTCGGCCTTATAATCGTTGCAAGCGATATATAGCTCGCTACACGAGCATGCACCAATGTGGAAATTTGTTTATTATAGATTTATTTATCGGCAGTTATGCACATGGCTATATAAATATGCAGAAAACAACGGCGAGTGTTTATGGATCTCGTAAAGCAGCCGAATAAGCTAGGAATAAGCTGAACTCGTTTCTGGAAATAGAGCGCGACTGCCTCCGAGGCGGAGAGACGAGCCGCCAAGCCACATAATCGAGAGAAGCATCAATACGAGACGCGGAGGAAGAAAAACGGATATCCCCGAGACTTTTTTTTCTTTTTCGGAGCTTTTGTTATGACTCCCCCACGCGCCCATGCCACACACACATAGACAGACACACGAGACAGGAGCTCTTCTTCGATTTTGAATATACATCTTAAGAGATACATAAAGTTCGCTCGAGCTTGTGTGCGAGGCGTCGTCCTCGTACCATTTAAGAAGAAAAAAAAATCACTATTATATACGGAGAGTGTTGGATAGCGCGCGCGCGAGAAAGAGAGAGAGTCAGAGAGCCGTATTTTATTTTTAGAATTTAACATCCTCTCCTTCGAGCATATAATAATTTTTCCATCCGCATTTTCCGACTTTTTCTTCTCTACATTCTCGCATTTTTCTTTCTAGCAGCTGTGCACGGAGTCGGTTTCGATAATATTTCATCGCGTAAAAATTCTAATTATAATCGATGCATCTCTCTCTTTTTGCGCTCTTTTTTTTGATTTATTTATACGGCCGCGCATATAGTTCGTCGACCGCGAATCGGAATACGATTTTTGTAAAGATGGAAAAAGAATTAAAGTTGATATCTTGTTTCTCGATACACGCGGTTATACGGTATACTATCAGGACGTAACGAAGTTATGTACTATCGCTATCGTTGTATACACGTGTAACTTTTATCAAAGGGTATACCTTTGCGAGTACATACCGCACGCACACACACACGTGTACAGCGTCAGCAACGTGCGGCGATCATCGAGGCATCGTCGTCGGTGCGCGGGACGCAAAAATTTTAGCCAATAGTTGGAAAACGACGTTTATACAGGCGCTAGGCGCACGTGCCCGCGCTGTGCAGAAATACGCGCAGAGAGGAGAGAGAGAGAGAGATCTGATGCAACAGTTTTGCCGCGTGCGCGATGCATGCGTTCTATACGGCTCCGTTTTCTACGCGCGCGTACTCGTATGAATTTATCGGCGCCTATACGAGGTCGATACATTTATTTATTAACATTCGTATTGACACATACCTATCATCACAGCGACGATCATGCTGATAGCGCTGAAGAGTCCGAGCTCTCGCTTCAGGCCGACTTGGGCCGCCACCTCCTTTTCTCCGTTCGTCGACATTCTGGATTCGGTTTTCTGGCTCTTCTTTTGTGACTCTTCTACCGAAGATTCAACGGTATCCAATTATCAATTAACTAATTTATTTATTTTTTTGGTCGGCTTGGAAAACTTCAAGTCCACGTCTCGGTACACGGCACAACAACGAGCACACCAACAAGCACGAGCGCGCACTCACGGCTGCGTCCGCATTTGTGCATGTAATAACAATATGCTTAGTTTTTACGATGCACAACTTGCAAAGTGGAAAAAAAGTTATTTACCGTACTGACGATATTTAGCACGTCATGGAGTGAGAGAGAGAGAGATAGAACACACGTGGGTAGCTCGCACTGCGGCTGATATTGTACTGCTGCTACTGACGACACTTCTCTGCTGCGCGCGTGGCTCGATCCAGCAGTCCGCAAACGCCGATGGGGGATTATTATAACTATATATATGATACGATGTATAAGCAAGAATCGCGTAGTTGCCTGTATAGGATGTATATTCTGCTCGGCAACGGCAGCTCCGTTTAGTACTTCTCCCCCACTTGTGGAGCTGCTTTTACACACGCGGCTTAATACTTATACATACGAATGTATGTGTATATCAGCGGCTCTCCTCTCTCGTACATATCGTCTATTTGACCGTGTGTGTAAGTGCGGTGGTATATACGAATCGCCTCGACGACGACGAAATGTTTGTGCCGCGTGCCTCAAAACTCAATAGACGCATTCTTTAAAGTCATTGTCACGGATTTGCGCCCGAGTTATTGCGGGCACTGCTCAAGACAGATGTGTGGCGACGTCTCTGGCCCAACTCAGCGATGCTCCTTTTTAACGCCAAATTCTGCCGGCTGACCGAGGTTTGCGAAGTTCCCTGAAACACACAAGTTTAGGAGGTATTTTAATAAGGCTTGTAACTCGTAATCAAGAAGGAAAATGATGTACATATCGAGTCGGCTCACGAGACGACTCCGAATTTTTCTTTGTCACTGCAATGTTTTTTCAACTCATCTCAATTTTTATATCTTTCCTCGAGCGAATTGCTTTATGATTTATTGTATCGACATACTTTACTTTTACAATTGAGCCGAAAAAACTTTTTTGCCTCGCTTCAGACGCGCCGTACAGCACACAATCGAGAACTTTATAATATTATTTCATTTTATTTTTTCTGCGCTCGCATCTTCTCTGGCCCGCAAATCCAAACACTCGAGTTATCCGATACGCACCCGGTGTGTGTGTGCTTTGCGCGCGAAAAATTGTAATTTAGTATAATATCTCGTGTGCTTGCGATGTGCATGATGCAGCTTACACTTCTATAAAAGGCAAATACAATGTGTATGAGCGAAAGAAAACAGGAAACATTTAATATCGCGCTTGCTGCAGCGCAGAGTCATCGGATAATTTTGAAAATTGCTCGACTCAAGAGCTTATAATGAAACAAAGTGTGCGAAGCTCTAGCTCTCGCTCTCAAGACTTTATTATCGCATATTTTCATTCGCGCTTTATTGGATCAGATACATGCCGAGGAAGAGAGAGAGAGAGAGAGAGAAAGAGAAAGAGAGATATCAGTGGTTTTTGCACGCGATAATCAATGATCTCAAAAAGTTGAGATTATTTTCGCGTCGTCGCCGTGCCGTCGTCGCGTCGGGATCCCGCATCTAACTTCAATTACTATATATACATATTCGATTCACATGCCTCGTATAGTGCACCAGACACCGAAAGTCAAGCTAATAGAAGTTAATAATGGAAGAATCCATGAATTTCTCATCGACGTTCGAGGCCCCAAGACGATTACCGAAGTTAAAGGAGGATAATCTTCAATTAATAATTCAGCTATTCGTTCGTAACGACTCGGTTTTATCTCCAGGCAGTCGAGTTTCTCTCTCTCGCACACCCCTTCGATACACATTCAATTTTTGTCTAAATAAATCGAAGCCGCACGCGAGATAAGATAATGGAGTAAGTGGCGAGATCAGATCGTCAATTAGAGATAATTGACCCGTTAAGCGAAGCGAGTTATTAATATCAACGAGTTTTTTTCTCTTTTCTTAATTCTAATGCCATTGCAAAGATGCGTTACTATACTATAGATTACTTCCCGAGAGACTCTGCAAGCTGCGTTCAATATACCGGGTAAACGTACTGCAATTTGTGCGCGAAAAGCTCGCGCGCGCGCGAGCGGCTTCGCAAATTGAGTTACCACCATTAGAGACTTTTCGAGCCGCCTCCTCTGTGTGTTATGTACACTTTGCCGGCGTATATAATTGAATAAACTCCCACGGCCGTAGCATTGGAAAAGTAATAAGCGACGAGAGAGAGAGAGAGAGAGAGAGAAACTCACGAGTTTTAGCTTCGAAAAATATATCGTTTGAAACGCTAAACGGTTTCTCTCGGACTTTTTGCCGCGAGGGAAAACATTGGGTCAAGTTTAATAAGCAGCATGTGTCACACGCACACACACATCTCTATGTAATAATGCCGATGCAGCGATCTGTGAATAATATAATATGCTTCCTTCGATATCGCGAATCTTTTGAGATGTGCGCGGCATTGCTGCCAATTATGCGTATTACGAGCTTTGCATTGGCCAGCCTGGACCACGTTATTTACTTCTGTTAAAGTTCATAACCTTACATTACACCAATTAAAATAGGTGATCCGTTGACATTTGTATACAAGCCGATCGAGAAATTTATTTTTTCTCTCGAATTCAATTTAATTAGCATGTCTCGTCGCGTAGAATTATCACGACAAAGCCGACAATATAAGCGCAAGTCGAGAAGTTCGATGTGCCGTTCGTCACGCTCTTAGCGTCTAGAATAAGTTTTTCATTTTTTGAGTGACATACATCACGTTGCAAAGATTTGGATAAATTTTTTTGTTCGGTTACTTTAACTGTTCCAAATTTTCCTGCAATTATGGGTAGTCCGGTGGAATCGATGGAAACGGATGTAATGAAAGAATCGTGCTCAAACAGTGCAACAAGTTCGTCGGATTCAAATAACGAATACATTTACAGACCAACAACTTTTGAAGATTTATTGCGTGATATACCGAGAGAAGTATTAAATGATTGTGGCCCAGATGAAGCATTTAGACCAGATTATAAAGCAGCAATATTTTCACAAAGTCGGCCAGCTGGTGCACCATTCACTCCTCATGAACCTTCGCTGTGTCACGATGAAGAAGTTATGGACGATGGGACCTTTTACTTTGAATCGGATCATTTGGCCCTCAAAGGAAATGAAGACTATCATAATTTATTAAAGGTAGTGGTTACGTTGCAAGCTCTTCGCTCTCAAGCCGTTAAAGACTTGGAACAATTACACAATGCAAAAAAGGAAGCATTAATGGACCCAATAGCTTATGTAGAAAAATTAAAAAATGGTGATCTTCCAGAATATCCAGGTCCATTACCAATACCAGAAATTCCAGATATTGATTTTAGTAAGTACAAATCAGTACAACCAGATGAAAATATGAGACCAATTACTAGAAATATAAGATCAACCGTTGCCAAAAAAACAAATTTAAATCAACAGAGCACTTCTAAATTATTAGAAGCATCTACAGTTTCTGGAAAACCAAAAGTTAGAGGTAGGGATTATGATGAAAGCAAGCCAGGAACTTTCAATCAATTATGGACTAAACAAGAACAAGAAAGATTACAAGAATTATTAGAAATTTATCCAACTGAAGAAATAGAGATGAAAAGATGGACCAAAATAGCAAATGCGCTTGGTAAATATCTTGAGGGTGACAAAAGATTTTTTTTCTATTATAAATATTTTATATTGTTTTAGGAACCCGTACTCCAAAGCAAGTGTGCAGTAGAGTTCAAAAATATTTTCTCAAGCTCTCAAAAGTAGGCCTACCAATACCGGGTAGACAACCAAAAGTTAAAAGTGACAGGAGGTTTTCAGCTAAGGCCAGACAAAATATCGCAACAAAAAGATCAACATTTTTTCCTCATGAACACCTTGAGGATGAATTTTTCCATTCAAGTTATCATTATAATAATTCTGTAAGTTAATATTTACATGCAAATGACAGAGTTTATTTGAATCAAAAAGTCAGAATATTATTTTTATTTTAATTACAGGATACAAATTCAGGATCTGAATCTATAAAAAAGGAATATACCTGCGAGCCAATGCACATTCAACTATTACGGAATATCAAGGGAGAAACTTTCACAGAATATGAAAAAAATTATACACACACTGGTCACAAGGTTGGTGTTACTAATGTTTTCTTGACTCAATATTAGCGGAAATTTTTGTATTTCTATTAACAAAATAGGAAGAGCATAAAATTATATCAATTTCGCGTTTTGCAAGCTAATTGTCAGTCTCAAGCCAAAGCTCGTGAAGTCTTGTAATAAAAAATCAAGACGTTCAAAGTAAATATTTTTATTATTTTCTGACTTACGTCGCACATCGTTGAGCGCGGTTTTTTTCTCGACTTCTCTCTAAATACCGCATCTAGCTTTAGTGCTGTGAGTTACCCTTGAAAGAAGGCAGCAGCGGCTTCTTGTCACACTGCTGTATACCCGATGGCCTAATCGTTCGGAATAATTCAGTTGAGACGTTGGCACTCCACATATAAACACACAAACACACACACACATATACGTACACAATGACAATAATTTAAGGTTACTGAACTGTGTGACATGAAAGAAATGCTGCTGCAGGAGGAGAGATATGACAAGCCGCGCGCGCACTCGCCCAGCTGCAGCCGCAGAGTTTGCAAATCCATCGACTCGGAGTCAGTGCCAACTGCCACAAGCACGAGCAAACCCCCCGAGCTGCTTGCGCGCGGCTATCCTTCTGTGTTGTCGCGGCGAGAGGGATGAAACGACCCTTGCCCCCTCTTCGCGCCAGCCCATCACATCTGTCCGGGCCGCGCGTTGCGCGCGACAACCGTTCAAATTTCCCGCGCGTGGATCGTCTATCATCATTGTAATATAAAATTCATTGACTCGAGCTTTTTTCATTATTTGCAGTGCTACATTTGCAACATGAATCCGATCAGGAACATACGCTGGGAGTGTCAGGACTGCGCGGACATCAATCTGTGCACGGATTGCGCGGTTGCACAACTGGAGGCTGAGGATCCACTGCATCCTCCGGATCACATGATGAGCGTGCACCGGCCGCCGAAAATGTCGTCTCATAACGGTTACGACGTTGATTATATGCCACACAAGTTCAACAAAGGTTCTTACAACTATCTCGACATGAATTACATTCCCGAGTGAATAACAGTGAGGATATTTTTGTTTTCTATTTTTAAGGAAATAATAAAAACGTTGTTAGGTTTCTGAGGAAATGCTGCGCATTTTCAGTCATGCAATTGAAAGATTTATTTTTTACAAGTCAAAGAGTACAATAATTTAGTTTTAGTTTTACAGTTAGATGATTATCTAAGTCATGATAGACATAAATACATATAAAAAAAGACTGGAGAGAAAGGTGGATTGCATTCATTAGAAAATTATGTATGATAAAAAATATTTTCATTTATTTTGGTAATTATGATAATTATGCCTTGTTTTTTATACTATTCAGACATCGACTCTGAATTTTAGTTTTGAATTCTTGGAATGTTCCTTCTTTTATATGTCGCCGAATGTTTTTGAAGAATTCCATGTAATGATGAGTGTTATGGCTACAGAAATTAATAAAAAATTAATTTTTTTATCTAGCAATTGAGTTACTATTATATATTATGTTTCAAGTTCTCTGAACAATAAATATACTCACATCATGAGAAGTACTTGAGAAAGCAATTCTTTGGTCTGTATTAAGTGATGTATGTATGCTTTGGTGTGATTTTTACAAGTAAGACAATCGCAGGATTTACATATAGGACTAAAATCTTCTACGTAGCTATAAAAAAAGAATTTTATACTTAAAAGAATTCGAAATCTCATAACAAAATATTAAAGAATTAGTTTCTTACCATTTCTCTTCTAAATTGATTGATTCTTTTACATTTCCTTCCTGACAATCATCACACAAAAATGTCAATGCTTTATTATTTTCAGTCATTATGTAAGGGTAAGAAGAATCGAATAAATCAATTCCCAAATTAACTAAATCTAAAATTACTGATGGATTCCAACATCCCATCATTGCTTTCAATTTTTCTATTGGTAACAAATTCTGAAAAACAAACAATTATCATTTGCTGGTTTATAATTTAAATACAATCGAGTAATTCTTGAACTTACGACACAATGTTTGACCACAGGTTCAATTTGACTAGTACTTATATTCTGAACTGTAGGGCCATTTTTATGTAATCCATCAATTGCATATCCAAGCAATGGTTTGTTTTCCATGAACTGGATGCACTTTTCTCTAGCTTTCAAGTTATAGCCTCCTTCAATTGCTCCCAATACACCCTTATTTTGAAGTACTTTAGATTGAGTATGGATTTTTATACATTGTTCAAATTGTTTTTTGGTTCTCTCAAAGCCTTTCATTATTCGTTTTTCAGAGCTGTCTTTATCTGTATCTCCATCACACAGTGTTACGTACATTTCTGGCTTTAATTGTTCAATTATTTGCATGTAGCGTTCAGGACTAACACTAGATCTACCATTTCTCGACCAAACTGAAATGGAATCTTTGACTTGATGACCAGATTCTGATAATTCTGCTGGGTCGTGAATATTCATAAAGAATGGATATTCCTAAATTAAAATTAAAGAAACTTTTGATTAAATAATCAAGAAACTTTAAAATTAAGTTTTATTACAATATTAATACCTGCATTCCCACAAAATCACTAAAAGACTGTGATGGTTTACAAAAATCTGCTATGCGAATGGATGATGACAAAGATGTCGCAAGTAATTCTTGTTCTTTTGTTAATTTTTTAAAAACATTTTTGGTCAAATGTGGTACGCACCCCCTCTGAAAAAATTATCATCATTACTTAAAACTTATTAGAATTACTTTCAAAAATAATAAATTAATTAGATGTTCTTCACAAAAAACTGAAACTAAAGAACAATATTTACCCTCGTGTAAATCATCAACAAAGGTGTTTCGAATGACAAATTGGGTAAACTTTCGATTTCGGAAAGCTTGCCAATGCGAGCACTGCATCGAGCAACAGATTCTGTTGAAAATCTCATGTTGTCTAAGAATACTTTATTTAAAAGCAATAATATATTAACTAATATATTAACTAAATTGTACAGTACTATCTACTCTCTGAACTGGACACATGTGACTGACAGAGGTTATGTGTATATATAAGTAGCAGAAAGTTAAACTGCATGCAGTGTAGCAGAAAACAACATTGAAACAGCAGACGATTCATTGATCAAAATATTCAAAATACACTGCTCTTTTAGCAAGTAACACCACCTGCAGTCAAATAATATAAAGTAAAATTGAAGTAAAGTAGTAGTAGTAATATATGTGAAACCAAGCATGTAATGTGGCAGACCGGTGATGTCTTACACGAAGATTTCAAGGCCATTAAGGAAAAGAAGAAGAAGAAGCAGAAAACAATATTTTTCTAGCGCGAATGGAAAGTGCATTTTTTAAATCATCTTCTTATAATAATTGCTTAGGCCGTAAATTTAAAAAATCGAGACTTCTGGCCATATTCTAGCCATATATTATATTGTACTAAAATCTATTTTATAAATTTATTTTGTAACAAAAGGTTTGGAAAAAAAATTTGATATCATTATTAAAAATAATTATTAAAAATAGTGAATTACTGTGTTTGTGTTTGATTAAGCAAAATGATTATTTCTGAAGTAATGTGTCTTCGTTATAATCAAGAAAAAGTAGACCGATTGCATCGTTTACGCGAAGACGTCAATTGGCTTGTCGTATCAGAGCGAAATGACTTTCTTGTTTACCTGGAGCCTATCATCAATGACTGGCACAACCAACTACCAAATCTTCTAGACATATTTAGGCCCGAAGAAATAGAACTTCTTCTATTAGACTGCATGAACAATCCAAGTCCAAGCGACGAGGAAGTTTATCTAGGGGAGTTGTTCATCGAATTCGTAGCTCGCTGCGGATACCAGGATTCGCTTTACGCTATCGATGAGAAGGACAAGCCGACGTCGCGACGTACCACACCTCTGCATCTCGCAGCCAGATGCACTTTTTACAACAGAAATAGCATGATTCCACTGCTTTTTAAAATATACAACAGATTCGACGTGAACTACGACGAAGATGGATTAACGCATTTTCACGTGGCCTGCGAGTACGGCTGTGTCGACGTCGTTAAAAACTTTCTCGAGCGCGGCCAGGACCCCGATTGTCTCGTACCAGGAACTAACGATTCGCCGCTTCATCTAGCCGCGAAGAACAGTAGCAACAAGAAGGTCATCACTTTGTTGTTGAACAGAGGCGCAGACTCGCGTCGGGCAAATAGCCAGGACACGACACCTATCCACATCGTGTGCAGGTACGACGATGAAGAAGCGTTGCAGATGCTATTCGAGAATGATCAAGGTGGGCTGTTGGAGGCGATCGATATCCAGGGCACGTTTGGCTGGACACCATTGCACACGGCACTGCTTTACGCCAACGACAACGTAGCCAGGTGGTTGCTGGAAAGAGGCGCCGACGCTAACTCGACCAACGGGCACGGGGAAACGCCTTTACGCGTTATCTGTAAGAGACGCAATAATTACAGTGACGCGGTCAAAGTGTTGTTCGAAATATGCGACAAGGTCGGCCAGGTGATGCAAGTCGATTCCAGAAACAACGAGGGCCTGACACCGCTGCAAGAAGCCGTAGTCAATTTAGCGCCGAGAACTGTCGCTGTACTCTTGAATCGTGGGGCCGATCTTTCTAGTTTCGTTTTCCCGACTGAGGATCACTTCACTAAGAGCTTTCGAGTATGGCGTCACGAATACGATTTTAAATTGCAGCTAGCCGCTGGCCTGCTGTGCGTCGTCGAACAGCTCGAAAAAAGAGGATACAGACTGGGTTGAAGCAATGCTCTGATGATAATGCAATTGTTCGCTCAACATGGATTGCTCGAGAAGTCGGCGGATCTTGACAAATGTTGGTACAACGACGAAGAGTTAGCAAAAAAAGCGAAGGAAATAATGATAATATCGAGTCTGTCGATCTACTTCGTTCTCCAGATGCAACCAGAGCAAGAGGATAAATTACTAGCGTATCGGGATTACGTACAGTTGGCACATTCGAGCAAATTGTACGGTCTTCCCAAAAAGTTCGGCGACGCTTGTGTCACGCATCTGTGCGAAAAGCTTTCGAGGGGATTTTTTCGGCGATGGGCGCTGGACTCCATGTTGGTGGCGACAGGCTATAGGTTGCCTATCCTCTGCTGTGAAATGATTGTGAACTGTAACTTGATGAACAAAGATTTACACAATATTTGCTTGGCAGCTGAAAGCTGAAGCTATAATACGGAGGGTGAACGGTGTATTTGCTGTATTTTTGTACATATCTGGTGTAATTTAATTCTGTAAATTTTCTATGTGATTAAAATAAATAATTGAAAAGAATGATTATTGATTTTTTGATTGGAAAGTACGAGGCAATCCCCAAAAAAAATAAAAAACTACTACCAATGCGTTGACAGAGTAGTACTTTCTACTGAAAATGTGATTATTACCATTTTTTGAAATAAATTCTGATTTCTTTTTTAAAAACAATAAATTGTACCTCATAGTATTGTACCATACACAATTATAGATTCAAAATAGTAAATCTGCAGAGCTTTCTGCAAAAAAACATGATTATTTTTCGTGTTCTTTTCGAATAATAAAAATTAAATAAAAATATTAATAAAAACTTTGAATTTTTTATTTAATTAAATTCTATGAGAACTAATATTAACATACCCAGTTAAAAGATCTGAAATTTGAAAAGTTAGTTCAATTGAAGTGCTGTTCGTGCGGTCGTGCAACAAGATAAAGATATAGTTGGCAAAACTGCAATAACGCAGCTCATCGACACTTCTGTGCATATATCTGCTTCCAGCTCGTTTTTCATATTAAATTGACGTTCAAACATCAAGTATATACGTAAATAAGTTAATTTACGGGCAATCTGTCAATTGGCTACACTAACAAGTAAGTGTAAGTAGAGAAAAATTAAGTAAATAAATAACTTGTAAATAGTGTTTGATGTAGAAGCATTACCAACGAAACATCAAAAATCGCAGAAGTATAACATTCCCATCAAACATCAAACCGGTAGGCGGTGACACTTGCAATTGCAATTTGCAGGTCACGATGCGAACGAACCCTATAAGAATCTCGTCCGGGAAAACCTGCGAAGCGGGCTCGAAATGTTTTGCGTGGTATTCCCTATGATAATCATTGTTCGACTAGTCGTAATAAGTGTTTGGACAACCCATTGAACTCTTATCAATTATTTTAATTCACCCTATCAAAGTACATTAGGCTAATTACCATCGTTTTTCCCAGGTACGATTAATTTTAAATAATCTTCAAGTTTCAAATGATGTTTGACAGTCATTTATAAATTTAGATTAACTTGGTACGATGCAGGCCGAACGTAAAGCCATAATCGACGCTTTATCTGAACCTAAAATAAAAGATTTTGCGTTTAGCTTGAACATAAAGTATGAAATAAAAAATGCAGAAGAATCTGTTCAAGTTCGAAAGGAAGGCAATAATTTATATATCAAGAAAAACCACTCAGACCAAGATCATAAAATGATTTTGTATTTTTATAACAAAAGCGTAGCTTATGCTCCCAGTGGATCTGAAGAATTGATGTATGCTTACAGTAATCGAGCATATTTTTTAATACTTATAAATAAGTATAACGAGGCTTTAGATAGTTTAGATAAAGCTATACAATTAACAGATTCAACTAAGATGAAATTGAAGTTGTATTGCCAAAAAGCTAAATGTCTAGCTGCCCTTGGCTCTTCAATAAAAAATGATGTATTAAGAGAGATTGATCAAATTTTTAAGATATCAAAGTTATCTATAGAGGATACAAATTTTGTATTAAACATTATTAAGAAAACTAAATCTGCAGTAGCATCTATGAAACAATTCAAACCTAACAATCAAGAGTTTTTACAAGAAAAAGAACAGTACAATAAAATTATTATTGATAGAGAAAAAGTTGATCCATTTGATTTTGTTGAAATAAAATTAACAGAAAATATGGGTAGAGGTCTATTTGCTAAAACCAATTTTAAAGCAGGCGATTTAGTTCTAGTGGAAAAACCTTGTTTGATTGGACCACATTTTTCCAATCAATATGTATTCTGTTCTCATTGTTTATCGGTTGCATGGACTGGAATTCCATGCGAAACATGTCATGATTACATATTTTGTTCTTTAAAATGTAAAATCATGGCCTGGAAAGAGTATCATTTCATTGATTGCTCAATAACACCATATCTTATTCTATGTGACCGACACATCCCTGAATGGATTCACATGCACCTTAAATTTGTAATATCATTGATGAAAGATAATAAAACAATAGATGAGCTTAGATCCAAACTGAACATTCCCAAAAAGGATCAAGGTAAATATGACAATGAAATGATCAAAATTTTCTGAAGTAATCCAATTTATTTGATCTTTATGTATCTTTTTCAGTTGAAATAGTGAATGACAAACCTGAACTAAAAATTAATTTATTAAATAAACTGATGAGTTTATCTCATAACTTACCAATGCATCAAAATTTTATTCCTACCATGTTTACAGTTAAAGCATTGATTTGTATGGTTAAGTATACATCATTTTTTTCTGAAAAATTGAAAGATATGCAGTGTGAAGATTTTTCAAAGAATGAGGACTTTTTATTCATTGGATCTTTGCTTTTGAGATTAGCAAAAATAAGTGCTGTTAATTCTCATACTGTAAGGAAATATTCTTTTATGTTCAATTTATTTAAATCTACTTCATAATTACTAGTTTTAAAGTTTTTTATTTTTCTATTCAATAGATATCATCAGATATTATTGAAGAAAGTAGTTACCAACTTCATGATCTCTTACCTGAAATGGGCATTGTACGTAGAGGATTTTGCGTGGGACTTATTAGTAGTATGATCAATCATAGTTGTGCACCAAATATTCGAAGATGTTTTACAGATGATATGAAGTATGTTTTTTATGCCACGGAACCAATTGCTAGTGGAACTCAGGTACCCATTACTATAAATTTTTGTATATTTTCTTTCAATGAGCTATACATAACATATTATTAAATTGTTATATAGCTTCTGGATTCATACAATGACTATTTTTATGAGACTCCATTAAGAGGTAGAAGATTAAAAAATTCAAATTTTATATGTCAGTGCATTGCTTGTAACGAAGATTGGCCTCTATTTATGTTATCAGAGGTAAATGATGCATTCTTGAATTATCAAATGAAATTTAAACCATTAATGTATTTAAGAGAATCAAATTTCATAATGAGAATCCATCCTTTAAAAGATGGAATTTATAATGCAAAATATTCAATCGATAAAAATTTAATACAAACTGTTACTAACATGATGGATGAAATAGCTAATGTACTACCACAACCTAGTTTAGCTAGATGTATGTTATTTCAAATGCTTGTTAAAATATTTAATAAGTATTATGGTCATATTGTGCCCTTTGAAAACTTGTGTTAATAATAATGATTTTTCTAAGAATTGTAGTTTTGTAAATTTAAAAACGTTTCATAATCTATTGGTAGTTAGCTTTAAAAAATCCAACATATTTTAATAACTCTCAAACTTAACTAAGGTTTTTTACGTACGTTATTTAATTTATTAGCTTAAATATAAAATATTCTTATTTGTTTATAACATATAAAAACCTTTGAATTCTTAATATTATTAGTGTGATTACATAATAATTTGCTATCTTAAATATTTCAAACTCTGATGTTTTTATGATGAAAATCATAATTGTTAATAAATTAAATTTTTGTGCACTATGTATAATTTCAAATGATGAATTAAAATGCATGCAACTTTAATTTCTAATTCTCAACTGTTACCTTCAAATCATGAAATAATAATTGTATATTTAATAATTATTTGTAACATATATTATAAAACGTTGCACCCATTTGTATAAATTGAAATGTATATTATCCACGCTTGAAACAAGCAACAAATTTGACCTATAATAATACTTTGACAAATGCGCAAAAAACATTAATATTTCCTAGTTAAAAGATCAGAGAGTTAAATAGATAGTTCAGTTGAAGTGCAAGATGATGTTGGTAAAACTGAAAAAACTCGTCATGAGCCCTACTATTTGCAGTCTTCTTGCAAGAGCTCGTTTTTTAGATCAAATTGATAAAACATCAAGTACTATATAGATAACTTAATTTACGCGTTATTCGTTAGTTCGCCTTAGTGTCTTCGACAGCATTTCAAATGGAAACATCGCAAAAGTATATCCACAAGACACAAAATAAACATCAAGCCGGGGACACTAGCAGTTGCTTGTCGCGAGCGAACACAAGAATCTCGATCTGGGAAAACCTGCGACTCAAATATTACTGTGTTTAGTAGTGTTGGGTAGTTAAGTATTGGGCACCCCGTTGCAGTACCTGGACGTCGTTTAAATTTATATTTCTCAAATATACCAGACTGCTCTTTATCGTTCTTGACAAGGTACAGTTAATATTTGAGATTTAACGGTCATTTATAAATTTAGATTAACTCAGTAATATGGACGCCGAACATAAAGACATACTTGACTATTTATCTCAACCTAATTTCGAACAAATTAAGACAGAACTTTCTCGTTGGAACATTGAGTATGAAATGAAAAATGCAGGAGAATCTGTTAAAGCAGTAAGGATGGGCAATAAAATATATAACAAGAAAACTCACACGGACGAAGAACACAAAAGGATTCTGTACTTTTATAACATGGGCATAGCTTATGCTCCCAGTGGATCTGCAGAATTGATATATGCTTACACCACTAGAGTAAATTTATTGATACATCTCAATAAATTTAACGAGGCTATAGGTAGCATAGATACAATCTTAGCATTGACAAATTCAGACAGAGTAAAATTGGAACTATATTGTCAAAAAGCCATTTGTCTTGCTGCCCTTAGCCCTTTTACAAAAGATGATGTATTCGAAGAAGTGGATCGATATTTTATGAAAGTAAAGTTATCTGTAAAGAATACAGATGTTTTATCAGATCTTATACGGGAAATAAAGGAAAATAAATCTCAAGCAGAATCAATGGAGCAATTCAAACCTAACAATCAAGAGTTTTTACAAGAAAAAGAACAGTACAATAAAATTATTATTGATAGAGAAAAAGTTGATCCATTTGATTTTGTTGAAATAAAATTAACAGAAAATATGGGTAGAGGTCTATTTGCTAAAACCAATTTTAAAGCAGGCGATTTAGTTCTAGTGGAAAAACCTTGTATGATTGGACCATCTTTTCACAACCAATATGTAATCTGCTCTCAGTGTTTATCGGTTGCATGGACTGGAATTCCATGCGAAACATGTCATGATTATATATTTTGTTCTTTAAAATGTAAAACCATGGCCTGGAAAGAGTATCATTACATGGAATGCTCAATAACACCATATCTTATTCTATATCATTCAAATCTTCCCTCTTGGGTTCACATAGGTCTTAAATTTGTAATATCATTGATGAAAGATTATAAAACAATAGATGAGCTTAAATCCAAACTGAACATTCCCAAAAATGATCAAGGTAAATATGACAATGAAATGATCAAAATTTTCTGAAGTAGTACAATTTATCTAGCTTCTGATGTATCTTTTAAAGTTAAAATAGAGAATCACAAATTTGAACCAAAAATTAATTTACTCTATAAACTTATGAGTTTGTCTCATAACTTATCTGAGCAACGAAAAATGAATTCTACCGCTTATACAGTTGTAGCGTTGATTATTGCGGGGAAGTACACAACTTTTTTTTCTGAAAAATTCAATGATATCCGTAATTATAATTTTTCAAAGAATGAAGATTTTCTATTCATTGCATCTTTGCTTTTAAGATTGGTGAGAATGGGGTCTGTCAATACTCATGAAGTAAGAAAAGAGATTTATTTATTTAAACTATTCCATGATTAAATCTAGTTTTAACATTTTTTATTTTTTGAAAAATTAGATAGCAGATAATCCGGCTGTACTATTACCTACAAGAAGCAGTATAGTTAGAGGATTTTGCCTAGGACTTATCAGTAGTCATATCAATCACAGTTGTGCACCAAACATTCAAAGATGTTTTTCAGATGATATGAACTATGTTTTTTATACCACGGAACCAATTGCTAGCGGAACTCAGGTATCAATTAACATTCATTGTTACAAATATTTTTCAAATTGGCTACATATCATATTATTATAAAATATCTATAAAGCTTTTAGATTCATACAATGACTTATTTTATAATACACCATTGGAAGTTAGAAAAAGAGATGATTCAAATTTTGTATGTCAGTGCATTGCTTGTAAAGAAAAGTGGCCTTGTCTTATATTATCAAAGGTAGCCAAAGCATTTATTGCTGATAAAGTTAAGTATGACCAAACAACATATTGGAAAGAAATAAGTTTCATGACGAAAATAGATACATTAATACAGACATTTCGCTATAGACAATATTTAATTGATAAAGATTATATACAAATGGTCGCTGATCACATAAATGAAGTAGCTGATATTTTACCACAACCTAGTTTGGTTAGATGTGTGTTACTTAAAATGTTTGAGAGGATTATGGACAAGTATTATGGTTTTACTCAGCCCTTTGAAAACTTTTGTTCATCAAAAATAGAACTAGTTTTGTAAAGTTAAAAATTTTTTATCATTTATTGACAGTCGGTTTTGAAAAAGTCAATATAACTCAAACCTAAATGAGGTAATTACAAGTTTAATTTATAAACTTAAATATGAGACGTTCTAATTTTTTCTATAATGTTTAAAAATCTTTACATTCTTAATAATGTAAGTGTAAATATAAGTGTAATTAAGTAATATTTTGCTAACTTGAATAATACAAACTCTGATGTTTTTATGATGTAAATCATAATTAGTAATAAATTTAATTTTTGTGCCCGATTTATATTGGTATGTTAATAAATGTTTATACAATACTATTCAATACGATGAGGTTTAACGTCCTATTTTCAAAAGGCTGCAGGAAGTAGCAAGAAATTTCAAATTGTGTATTCCTTCTTACAGTATCTTATTAAGACCAAAGCTATACATGCATAAAAGATATAAATATTATTGAACAAAAATTATACTTGAGATCAATTAATGAAGTTTAAATATTTGAAAAAAAGGCAGGTATTCGTAGGTATCTAATTTTCCTTGCTCGATTAGAACTTGACGAGTCGGATTCGAGTCAAGTAAAACTCAAAAATCGATTAATCGCACATCTTTATCAATTACTAAAATTTTATTATACTTTAGCGATTCGAATGGAGCAAACTTTCTTTGAAAAAAAAAGAAAAAAAAAATGGACAAGAATACGCATAAAAAATATTTTTATTCTATATAAACACTAACTAATAAACATATTTACAGAAACTAGTTATTTACACAATTTCACAATATTATCAAATACAGTAAGGATCGAATCAGAAGACGTCCTTGGTCTCGGAACATTGTTCTGGTATGCTGTAAGCCGGCGACTCGTCCCTGAAAGTCGAACGATCGCTCCTCTTCGTCGTCCGCCTCATGATGAAGTGCTTCTCCATTTTGCGGAACGGTCCCTCGATACCGATCGCGATCAGCAGCGCCAGCGAGAACGAATAAACGACGTCCGGCACGAAATCCCAGAGCTGAAATTTTGATCATTTTTGTTTTCATTATCGATCCACTGTTGCGCGGTCATGTATATTTTTCTGCAAAGCTCAACTTACCGTGCTGTTGATGGTGAACGTGCGGGCGGTTCGGACCGTGGCCATGTGATAGGTCTGTATGACGCCGTGAGACAGGAAGACGCTATAGGTGAGCCGTCCCAGCGGCTGACACCAACCAGGCGTTAAAAATTTGTAATAGCCGTCTGTAAAATTTTTATGTCATTTGTATACGGTATGTTCGACAAAATTTTCTCATTGAGTAATAATTTCGCTGCTTGTGTACTCACTCAGACCGTCGCTCATCTCGATGAGCAAAATAATGGAGCAGAAGCTGATGGCGAAAGTGGCCCTGTGAAGGCTCGCGTAGACGGCCATCTCCAGCGAGCTGTGACTGACGTTCGGGTCGTAGAAACGAAAACCGTACGACTGCGAGTAATAACTCATCACTAAGACTAGTACGAAAAATAGCGTCTTGGAGTAATCCTGGAGTAAGATGTATATCGTACATAAATGTCATTGATATTGGAAAATCTTTTCAATTATCGATCGATCTCATACCTTCGATATGCGCCAAGATGCCCTCTGATAATCGTAGAGAATCGCGCCCGCTATCACCCCTATGAGATAGGCGCTCATTCTCAGATGTGTCTTTACGTAATAATTGAGAAAATATGAGTCGTCCGCCAATCCATTTAAACTGCAATGACAACGATCGTCAAGCCTGAGTTGACTACGAAATATTCCCAATAAATCTAAACAGAATCGGCATATACTCACTGTGGAAATCCAATGAACAGCGGCTGTATGCGATGCTTGTAGGTGATGTAAAACGGCACGACGATGCTCAAAAGAGTCACCAGCCCGAGGATAGAGTAGCCGATCTTTCTCGGCCACTTCCAGAAGAGATAGATCAACACTATGGCGACGAGGTAGCAGTGAAAGTCCACCGACAGATACCACGATTGGAAGATGCACTGCAACAAACGTACGTTTTCTATAAATTATATGTTCTATAAACGATATGTCTGCTTAATTCGGGATTTAGTATAAAAAACGAGTTGCGTTGGCGCAATCGCCGGTCACAATTACCATTCGATCCATGGTCAGGTAATTGTTAAGATAGAAGAGATTGGCCCACCAAGTTGAGGCGCAGTGCTGCGACTCGGCGACGACTTTTTGCGACCACTCGGGACCCGAGCCCAGATGCGGAAACACGTAGGCGATGAAGAAGATCATCAGTGCGTACGCTGGCGTGAATCTGGTGAATCGATAACGATACGCAAAATGAAAATTTCGCAAACGTGGACGAGTTTTCGACCGAAAATTATAGAGCAAATGAAGTACCTGAGGAAGCGTATGAAGGTCAGACCGATGAAGTTCATGCGCTTGGTTTTGTCGAACTGATCCAGCAGTCCGTAACAGGTGAGCAAGCCGCCGATAGCGAAGAAACCGTCGACTATGATCGGCCCGTTGTGCACGATAACGAACGATGGCACGTCGAACGTCTAAAAGAGCCAAAAAAAGTACGATATTTCATCTCTTCTTTTCACTCATCGAAGCAAAAGATCCTGAAAGAGCTCATACCATCTCGAGGTAACGTTTGTTGACCACCGGATTGAAGTAGTACTGCATCATGCGATGGCCGATCAGCACCATGCACATCGAGACGAAGCGCAAAAAGTGTATGGTGTCGAGGCCCCGATGCTTGTAGCTCACCTCGAACACGGTGCGCAGATTGCGCCTCGCCGAGAAGCAGAGCAGCAGCTTCTGGGCGTTGCTGCTGCCCTCCCTCTCCTCCTGCGTCTCCAGGGTGCCGTCGTAGATGCTGCTGATCACCACGGTGACGACGATGCCGCCCAGCACGAGGCCGTAGACGAGGGTGCCCCGCGACACTCGCGGCTCCTCGGCCTGCGTCTGGCAGTTGTGCTCGTCGATCCTGACTCGAATCGACAGGTCGTTCTGGGCGGCGAAGTCGTCGTAGGGCGCGCTCAGGGCCTGGCTCACCTCCGCCGGGCTGCAGGCCGCCGGCACGCACAGCGCCATTTGCACGTTGTAGCGTCGTACCCTGCGAAAGTCGCCCTTTTCCTGCTCGATCGATTGGTACACACGATTATAATTATCGTTGCGCGTTATTTCGCATCGTCTATGATTATAGGAAAGAAAAAAAAATAGGAGCTCACCTTGACGGCCTCCCAAGCCGAGCCTTTCGGATTGAAGTCGAAGCCGAGTTTTTGCCCATTGCGTCCTCTTGGCCGATCGCGTTTTTGCTTGTACTCAAAGTCCACGAGGCAGTAGCGGCCTCGCACGCGCTCGGGCAGTCGCTCGTACTTGGTCGCGGGCGCCAGCCAGGTGTCGACCCGGTAGCACTGGTCGAAGCTGCCCAGGTGACGCGTCTGACCGTCGATTATGCCGTACGGATATTTCGCCGATGCGTCGAACACTGCGAGGAAAAAAAAGAAGAAGAAGGAAATTATAATACGATCGTGTCGAGAGAAAAAAATTATTTCGAGATTTGTTTGACGACATTTTACGCGCACACGCGCACGCACATGTGTGTTGCGCGTGTTATGGGTGTTTATACGCGAGTCGAGCGAAAGTAGTTCATCAACCTTGAAGGAGATATATAATATACACGACCGCGAGAGTCAAACGGGAAATATTATATGTTATCTAATTTAGCATAAATCACTCGATTGCTTACGTCACAATAACTAACTATTCACTCATCGAGGATTTTATTTATTTATTTATTTTAACGTTTTTTTTTCTTTTTCTTCTTTTTCATTTTTTTTTTTTGCAAATCCGTTAATCTGCCGAAGCGAGATTTATCTGCTGTATGCTTGTCAATAATTGAAGAATCCAGTTACCCAAATTTCAATATTTATGAGCTTCAGTCGGTCATGCGTGTGAGCCCATACGATCTTTTGTATGTACACGATTTTACTGGATTTTATAGCCATAATCAAAAAGGCTGTAAAAAACGAACGAAATGTCCAAATATACAAAAAATAAATTATAATTATCAGTTCGCGAATTATATAAATAAAGAAAAAAATAAAGTAAAACGAGAAAAATAAAGCGAGATCAGGTGAGAAAGAAAAAAATACACCATCTTCGACCCTCCGATTCACTGTAAATCGATGATGAATTAATGAAGCCGAGGCAACCCGCGTTCGCGCGCGTGGATGTTGCAATTGTGGATGGGTCGATTTACGCACGAGTAGATTGCCCAAACATACGCTCATATTTGTTTTTGCTTCCTTAATAAACTCTTGCTTCCGTAAAGAAAAAAAATTATACATCGAAAAAATTCGAATCGCGTGACGATTATTAAGCGCGCACAAGAGGTGGTGGTGCGAACCTGCGTGAACCTGTCGTCGATATATTTTATACACTTATATGCATATATTTCATAACGAAAGTCGATTTTAAACGTCCCACTCGTCGTTTGGGTAAATCCAACTTCGTCTTTTTTTCTTTTAATAATACATTTACATTGTTAATGCAGCACTGAAAATTTAATTAACGAACTCGTCAAAGTTTTGAATCAGCGCATATAATAATCCAACTTGTTTCCGTCGTTGTCGTTGGAACGCGTACATATATATACATAAGCTTTCATTGCGTCATTAATGCACGTGCGTTGGAAGTTTCGCAGGCAGGTACTGTTTCGATCGGGCTAATTTGCTGCCGCGAGAGGCTAAAGTTTTGAAAGTTCAAACTAGGCCAGCTGTGGCATTAGAAGGCACATTAACTCGCGTAACGACTACCTGCTTAATTGGCGGTCTTTTTTTTTTATAAATTAAAGGTAAAAAAAAAAATAAATGCTCGGCGTTAATGCAATATGTCAGGTCGAATCTAAGATTTTACCGTGGATTTACCCATGAATAATTTCAAAACTTACTCTGCACCGCCCACAATTTTCCATCCCTCAGATCTTGGAAGTAGCGGCTCAGCTGTCGCCTGCAAGCTCCTTTGGGCGTCGATCTGGACTCGGCCACGGCGATCGGCGGCAGCGGTATTTTCTCCAGCCAGATTTTCTCGAACGGGCTCCTCTCCCTCGGGAAATCGCGCAGATCCGACTCGACATAATTGACGTAGGTACTGAATGTTGTCCGGCAGGACTCGGTTCCCTCGTCGCACGATTCCGCCGTTCTCACGTCCGTGAGTTTCAGATAGCCTCTCTCCGTCCTGTTTCTCTCGAGGGCTCGACGATCGAGGCCGGCCACCCGATGAAAGGGCGACAGGTGTCCCAGGGATTCGATGGCGTTGAGCACGAGCACGAGGCTTATCGCCGATATACAGTTCAGTATCAGCATGATGGAAGTTGAATTTTTTTGAAGAGACAAAAATGCAATTAAAGTTTCAACATTATATATGGATCTCATGCAACTTCACTCCGGTTTTATCACTTGGTATCTTATTTACGAACGAACTCTACTCTGTAGCAACGACAAAAGAGTTACATTTGTATTTATACTATTGCCGGGCGCGTTCTCACTCTCTTTTTGTGTCGGCGTTGTCAGTCCAGAGCCGATTTTTCGTCTACTAAAGTCTACCGTAAATCGTGTATAAATGATCGGGCCAGCCACCGATTCCAATACGCGCGCCAATCCCCTCCTTCTCCGCTATACCTCGCCCGATCTGCGATGTTTCTAAACTATCTACTATGACTTTTACTATATAGGATACCTTGAGTCCAGGCGTCGTCACGGCGTTATCCTTCAAAGAAGCGATGAAAAAAAAATGATTTTTTTTTTCTAAAGATATATGCATGAGAAAACGATCTCCTCGATTCTAACATGTACGCCGCCGCGTGTTTGCTCTCGGCTGTTATAACTTTTGAACGTTTATTTTTTAAGAGCAACAAAAAACTTGTCTATTCTTGCAAACAAACGGGAATTCGAAAAAAGGAGAATTTTTTTTGTTATCTCCGACCCACACGCATAAAGTTTCGCATCGAAAGCGTGAATCGTCCTTTTCAACGCTGCAATGAATTGCATTAAAAAATCATCTCTCTCTGTTTTTTGTCACGCAGCGAGACGATAAATTCGGAGGATGACCTTAGAGAAATTTTTTTCTTCCTCCTCGGAACAAACGGTTTTTTGTATGTTTACCAAACAAGGTGCGCACGAGCGGGCTCATTTGAATTTGAACGTCGAAGAAGAAAAAAAACAAGGATGACCAGTTGGAATTTCGCGAAACAAACGATACACGTGATACATTTGTGTGTGTATCAAACGAAATCGAGCCGAGCATAATTTTGCAATAATTTCCGTATAATGTGCAGCAAAAATTGTCGTCATTTGGCTATTTCGAGCTCGATGTACATGTAGGCGAAAAATTCCAACGGCTACGACGTGGAATAGGCGACGACGGGACTCGCGTCTTTTGTTTAATTTCATTTCTTTATCCAGAAATTTCTCGCTACATTACTTAAACGTTAAAAATAAGATTTTGACGTTTTTAAGACCTTTAATCGAGTATATTCGAGTATATCGTCGGATTATTATTGTAGCGTAATTAATGGCCTCGAAAAAAGGACGACGAGTCGTAGGTACGAATTATATAATATATCAAGTTGAAAATTGCATAGTTTACGCCATTGCGTTCTCAATGTAAATAGGCGAGCGAGATTTGTCATTTCAAAATTCGGATTAAATCGCGATTTTCCCATTGACGCATGAGATACCCTTCGCGCGACTCATTTGTTTGTTTGTTTTTGTACGTCAAGAGTGCGCGAATTATTTAATACATATATTACAGAATAATCGATAAATTCTAGAGATATGTTCCCGCGTGAACAGCGATCAATTTAACGTTGACCTTATAAATTCCATATTTCGGTCATCGGAGTCTAGTGAACTTCCTTCTCACTCTTGTCGTTTTAATGTATACGCAAAAATAAGAAAAATTTGCCAAGCTTACGGTACCTCTCGAGAATCTAATGGCACCGCGACCCGAATGCTGCGGTGAAAGTATAATGTGTGTGCGTGTGTTTTGTGATGCTCGCAAAAAGATCGACCTCACGAATGACACATCGGTTCGATCGCGAGATGCCGATGATGATGATGATGATGATGATGATGATCGCAGCACCTGATCTAGAGAGATTCGATAATCTCTATTATGCCGAAATTATATTTGCTCGCTAGTCGTTCAAGCGCATTTTGCAAGACTTTTCGCAACGCATTCGTCTTTTTTTTCTTCTTCTTTTGCTCTGTACTGTACCTCTCGAACCGATCTGCGATCTTCCGTTGCTCTATCTCGCTCGCGCGCACCAGACAATCGTACGAGACGTGCGCATATATATGTATCCCCGTATGCTGTATGGGACCGTGTGTAACGAGATTTTTGCTCGAACGTTGCGAACCAAGTGGCCGAACGCACGATCCGCGACCTTGACTGCGCGCGGAGGATTGGTGCAATAACGTTGAATTTCACGGCTTCGGGCCGGACGCAAATGCGGTATCGAGTATGTATGTAATTCGCTTTTCTCCGCGCTCGGATGTGTCAAATTTGAGAGGAGGATTTTAATTTCTAGTGCTTTCGCGCTTGTGGCAATATGTATACCTGTACAAGATTCACACGTACTCTTATCGCGACCACGTGTGTTTGCAACGATCGGCGCGGGTTCCGAAAAATCATTCACAATTGCAAAATCCTCCTCCATAAAATAAGTGTATTAAACGCCTATTAAACGCACTCGTAACGAGAGCAATAACTCCTGTACACTTGACCCCACGACATTTGGGTCATTTTGACAGTTCGGGATTAGCCGTCGGGCGCAACTTCATAATATACACAGGCAATTGTGGTCGGGACGTCACTGCCAATTACATAACGATAATTCATAAATTCATAATTTATTGTCGCAGACTGACGTTACAAAACGTTTTGTTTTTTTGAACGCGCCTCGATCCATCAATTTTTCTCGTTGTTTCCTTCGCTCCTATTATATATATTTCTCAACGAGCCCTCGAGTTAACAAACGAAATTCAACAAGCTGCGGTATGGTTTACTAAAAAAAAATCTCACGCCGTTCAAATACGTATCCGCGACGACAGTGGTGCATTTTCACTTTTATAATCATCCGCAGGAGGGAGACCCCGACAGTATATCATGTACCCGGCTAACTTTCATGCATTATATACACGTCCAAAATATGTAACGCAAAAAGTGCCCATATCGCGCATACAAAACTTGCCCATACCGCGGCCCAAGCGCCGGAGCGGGGGATCCCCGTGCACGCCTGCCTGCATAAAAGTTGTTGCAGTCCAGCGGAGAAGAGAGAGAAGTAAGAAAGCACTTTCTTTGACCGTAAGCGTGTGCACACTCTTTCTTTCAACGTGCGATACATGACGCGAGACACGGCAGCCGCCTCTTCTCTTCCTCTTCGTACTCTTCTCGTCGTCCAGCCAAAATGATCATCAGCTTAGTCGGGTAAATTTTCAGCACATTTCTATCATTTCATTATCACCTTTTCTTCCATGTCGTATTATACTTTTAAAAAAACGTTTCGTGCTTTGCTCAGTTCAGTGTCAGTTTTGTGTCGTTGTCCTTGATGCAAAAAGAAATGCATACAGTGTCGGAAAACGTCGTGTCATTGTGTGATGTTCAAAGAACTATGCGCCGTGCGTGTCAATTGTTGATCTCCATTCATAAATTTTTGTGTCATTTGTCAAATAAAAAACAAAGTCCGACCTACGCAATGGAATCGTTTTATACTTCCGTTGGGCGGGCGTACCGATTCGCGTGAAACTCGAACTTGTGCTCAGTGATATTCCCTCGATGGAATAATCTCACGCGCAAACGTCAGAAAAATTTAATTCGCACCTGTGTTCGGAATAATTTCGATTTTCGATTCGTTTATGTGCATACATTTTGGGAGTAAATAAAACGATCTTAGGTGCGCAAGTACGGGTAACATGCACGCACGCACACACATACACATCGTGCGTTAAGAAAATTTGCGCCCTGACTTTCCGCGAACGGCAGCGATTGCGCAATCTTTTAATATATAATAACGCAGCATGAAAGTAAACGCGGATGTAACGCGAAACTTTCACTCGTTTGGCTGCTGCAGCTATAATAGTCGGACAACCTCTGCTGCTGAGGAGATCAAGTGCAGTAACCGGTCCTTTCCCATTTCACTTTTAATCGCTCGTTTACTTTACTCGCTGCACTGCTCGTTACACGCGTAAGAACGCAAACTTATGGGTGCGTATAATGCACGAGCACGACTCGCGAGGAATTCCGACGATTTTTTTCTGTCATTTTTTTTTTATTCGTTTCGGCATTTGTTTAAACGTACCCGAAGTAAACGCGTTTGATACCGATCACGATGAACCAGTCAATTTTCGACGAAACGAAAACATACGAGTCTATTCTCGTATGCGCGTTATTTGTTCAAATTTAAATATTTTTTTGCCACTGATATCTTAAATCACGAAGATCTCGGATATTTTTTTGCAAAGTCATGTACCAATTGCTACAACTCCATATCACTGATTCATCAACTATCCACCAACTTTTGTGATCGTTAAAAAACGTTTGCTTTTTTCCTTCGCCATCAGCTTCCTACCCTCGATCGGCCTCGTCTTTCTGGCGCTGCTGCTCCTCTACTATCTAAGCACGCGCAAGCCCAGCGACTTTCCACCGGGTCCGGCATGGCTGCCGGTCCTCGGCGCCGCCCTGGAGATCGACGAGCTGCGCAAAAAGACCGGATACTTCAGCGAGGCTTGCAACGCCCTCGGGGCCAAGTACGGGTCGGTGATCGGCCTCAAGATCGGCGTCGACAAGGTCATCATACTCAACGACTTCAAGAGCATGAAGGCCATGGCGGCAAACGACGCGTGCGACGGCCGACCAGTGGGTCCCGTCTACGAGACCCGGACCTTCGGCAAGCGTCGGGGCCTCCTGGTGGTCGACGGCAATCTCTGGGTGCAGCAGCGCCGCTTCATCCTGCGCCATCTGCGCGAGTTCGGCTGGGGTCGCACCGACATGGCCATACAGATCGAGCACGAGGCCTCGCAGCTCGTGCAGTACTACGGGCGCCTGATCGACACCAAGGCCCAGTCGTTCCAGATCGACGACTGCAACGACGACAACAATAACGACGACGACGACGCGGAGAATCGTAGGACGCTGGAGAAGACCGACGAGGAACGCCGATACGAGTCCAGCTTGGGCAAAAACGAAAAACCCGAGAAACTCGGTGACGTCGGACGAGAGCCAGCCAAGAGGTCCCTCACCGCCGAGGACTTTTACGTGAAGGTGAAGCACCGGGAGCTGCTGAAGGAGGCCGGTCAGGGAGCCAAGCTCTCGGGCATCATCGTCGAGATGGAGGACTTCTTCGGGGTGCCCGTGCTCAACGCCCTGTGGACCATGATGGCCGGCAAGCGCTACAACGTCGACGACCAGGAGCTCATCTACCTGCAGCGGATCTTCACCTCGCTGCTGCGCGACGTCGACATGATCGGCTGCCTGTTCCAGCATTTTCCCGTGCTCAAGTATCTCGCCCCGGACAAGTCGGGCTATAACAACTTTCTCAAGACCCACGAAAAGGTCTGGCAGTTCATCAAGGTGAGTGTGAATTATTCGGAGGATATTTTCATTTCAAGCGAGAGTCTTGCATTACGCACTTTTTTATCGTTGTTATCGTTACAGAGAGAACTGGAAAATCACAAGAAAACGTATAATCGAGACTGTCCGCGCGACCTCATGGACGTTTATCTGAAAGCTCTCGAGTCCGACGAAAATCTCGACGAAACTTTTTCGGGTAAGCGCAATCGAAGCTTCGTTTTATCGATCAAAATTTTCATGTGGACTGTTTGTTTTCTCCTCGCTCACAGAGGCCCAACTGCTGGCCATCTGCGTGGACCTGTTCATAGCCGGCTCCGAGACCTCCTCCAAGGCGCTGGGCTTCGGCTTTCTCTTCCTCGTTCTCTATCCGGAGGTGCAGCGCAAGGCGCAGGAGGAGATCGACGCGGTGATCGGTCGCGATCGGCTGCCGTCGCTCAACGATCGGCCCAAGTGAGTATTTGCGCGCGATTACGCTATTGCAGAACAAAAATTGAGATACAATTTCTGTTTGATTTAACAGCATGACCTACTTGAACGCCGTCGTCATGGAGTCTCTGAGGATGTTCATGGGTCGCACGATGAATGTACCGCATCGCGCCACGAGGGATACTCAGCTCATGGGCTACACGATACCCAAGGTAAAATCACGAGATCTGTACGATTGTTATTGATAACGAGGTAATGCTGATACGCCCTGCGTGGTTATTATTACAGGACAGCATGATCGTCGTGAATTTCAACAGAATCCTAATGAACGACTTCTGGGGCGATCCCGAGGTGTTCAGGCCCGAGAGGTTCATCGACGAGACCGGAAAAATCGTCACTCCGGAGCAGTTTGCGCCTTTTGGAATAGGTAGGTTTACAATAATTATATTATATTTAATTAAAATTATACAGGCGAATAAATATGACAGAGGTTTGACTTGGAAAAAAAATTATTTAATTTATGCCTATAGTACAAATTCAATGGTCATCGTTAAAATGAACTCACAACCTTACATGTATATTATCAATCATAATAAGCTAATCAGCGAACAATAATATATGAACAAATTTCATACGTATTAAAATACAAATCGTCAAATTCATTTTACATTCTCTTTACCGTCACAGGTCGGCATCGTTGCATGGGCGAGACCCTGGCCAAGGGCAATCTCTTCGTCATCACCGCGGCTCTGCTGCAAAACTTCACTTTTTCGCCAGTGCCGGGCGAGACGCCGCCGCGCAACGCCTACACGGACGGGGTTACAGCTTGCCCGGTGCCGTATCGTGTTTTAATGACCAAACGAGCGCACACGGTCAATTAACATTTTTTATTTATCATTTTGTTTTTTGTTACTTAAGGTTAATTTTTAATTCATTTCATGTTTAAACTTATTCATCGAGTTAATTGTTTGTATCAGTGAATGATAAGCCATTAATGATATTATAATGAAGTTTTGAGATGACCATTTTCGTTTGCTTCAATCATAAAATGTGTATTGAAGCGTTATAAGAATAATTTTCATGAAATTTATTATATTTAGAAGATAAAAAGATGACTAAAAACAATTCATTGAATTAAATGTAGTTAAAAAATGGTTTCCCAAAATTTCATAATAGTATCCTAAGTGGAATACAGTCCTTTACGATTTAATGATATAAAGTTTCTAAGGATTATTATTAGTGCCACTTAGAATGCGATGAATGAAACTTTGACTTGTATTTATAATCAAGTATGTTTGTTTTTCAACAAAATGTAAATTAAGTAGTTAAATCGAATGTAACATTTAATTAAAAATATTTTGTATGAATTGAAATTTTAATTTTAATCTATACATTTTCATATAGATTGCTAGTTATTTTTTCCATCATAAAAATGTATCAACTTTAGTTTAAAAAAAGTATTCATCTCATATAAGAATTAAATAGGACAAGTCAAAGAAAATTATTTAATAAACCTAATTCTCGGAATCATGTTTGTCTCTTTCTTTATCGCTTACTTCAGAACTTGCCCTACTCTTTTCTTCACTTCGGCGCTTCTCTTCACTCCTTTTATCCTCTTTGTCTTTTCTGTCGCGATCTTTTTCTCGATCCTTTTCCCGTTCTCTATCTTTATCCTTTTCTTTATCTTTGTCTTTTTCTTTGTCTTTGTCTTTGTCCTTATCTTTATCTTTATCTTTGTCTTTATCTTTTTCTCTATTTCGATCTTTGTCCTTTTCTTTGTCTTTTTCTCTATCTTTATCTTTTTCCTTGTCCCTATCCTTGTCTCGATCTTTATCGCGAGATTTTTTCTCGCTACTGCCACTGCGTTTTTTGCCATTACTTTCTTTGTCCTTGTGACGCGATTCTCTGTCCTTATCCTTGTCTTTATCCTTGTCACGTGACTTCTCTGAATGCTTCGATTTGGACGAGTGAGTTTTTGATTTCGAGCGCGATCTTCTTGAGCGTGAACGCCTTGAGCGAGATTTGGAACGTTTACTACGAGAACGGCTACGGCTTTTTCGTCTAAAAGTAAAGGTAGACATCGATTAATAATGATAAGAAGAAATTGTGTTACATTCGTAATTAATGAGCACTTACTTTGATGATGGAGATTTCTTTTTTCTATGACTGCTTCTGGATCTAGAACGTTTAGTGTCCCGCGATCTTGATCTTCTGTCGCGAGAACGCGAACGATGGCGAGACCTTGATCGTCTACGAGATCTTGACCTCTTGCGCCGATCCCTCGACCGAGAGCGACGACGAGTAGAGCGAGATCTAGAGCGTCGTCGGTGTCCTCGAGAACGCGAACGTCTGTGTCGCGAACGTGATCGTTTACGAGATCGTGAACGCCTGGAACGACCCCTGGATCTCGACCTAATTTCAAAGAAAAATTATGTTTTAGTACTGTCATAATAATGCATGATAAATTTTTTAAATCCGTCAATTACCAAGTTTTAAATCAATATGAAAGCAATAATTTTAGATTGTTAATGAAGAATTGAAAAAATTTTAATTACCTGCTTTTTCCTCGACCTCGAGATGGGCTGCGACTTCTTTTATCTTTAGAAAGCATGCCTATCATAGGATCTATAGTTGCTGAGATGAGATTATGAGCTTCTTTGACCCTTGTCATAGCCTCCTCAATCTCCTTTTGGGCAGCTTCATTACTCTTGGCTTCTGGTTTGATGATAGCCTGATTAGCATGTCCAAATTTTACAGGGCGATCGTTCAGCATGTCTCCATTGTACAATAAGGCTGGGACCACTGATGATTGCTCTGAGAATTCAACCAGCGCATAATGATCGTGGTCCGAGTCACGTGTGCAGAGTCGAATGTACTTCACCTCGATGTTACGTTGACTAAAGAAGTCAATGATATTATGTTCTGTTGTACTGGAATCAAGGTTCCCAACCAAAATAGTACGTCTGATTTCCTCAATTCGACGACCATCAAGATGACCAGGCAGATTGGGATAAGGGGGAAGACCATTCGCTTCCAACTTTGGATCCAACGTAGCAATTTGATGATTAGGTGGTATGCCTTCAATTGAATTGACAACATTGGCGGGTAACTTTGGCTCAGAAGGGTACAAACCTAAAATGAGATAATGAATTAGTATTTGAATAAAATCAACTTGATTAAAAATTATCTATCGATCATGTACAAATAAATTATAACTAAATTAAATTTTATTATTCATCATTTAAAATTGGTCAATAAATTCAAGAATATAATTGATATAGAAACTTATAAAGATATATAATGAAAAGATTTTTTAAACACTGAATTCTTATCGTTTGTTTATAAGCACTGCAATGTGTTTTCATTCAAAGCTCATTGAATCAAAATCAAAACAAGTCAAGATGCACGATTAGTATAAGAATAATATTTGAAAGGCTACAATAATGAAAAACAAACGAGCGATGGTTACCTGGTACAACAGTGCCGTTATTGGTCAGCTCCAGGGCCTTTTGCTCATCGGGAATATCATTATTTTGATAAGGAATGACAATGATGGCACGGTCAATGAAGACGGTGTTGGTCATGTGCTGCGCCACGGCGATGTTGCTGGCGTCGTGAAATTTGATGTAGCAGATACGCGACTGCACGGGCACGGCGACATCGCGGATCGTCGGATACAAGCGTATGTCCTCGATCTTGCCGAGATAGCCGAACAGCGTCTGCATCTGGTCCTTGGTGGCCTGGGGCGCGATATTCGTCACCTGGACGACCTTCGTCGTGCCCACCGCCATGTTTTCCTGACGCGGGCGGCACACGGCACGCACGGCAGACGGGTAGGTTAGCTTGGCCAAGCGCCGCGACGCTTCGCTGGCTCGTCTCCCGAGCTTACCAAGGAGACGAGGTTATGTAGCAACAGCGGCCGTACACTGTTATGTTGTCGTCACTCGCGCAGAAACAAGCAAAGACTGCAGCCGTGCACGCGTTTCCAGTCGATTCTTGCTCGTAGGTTGTGAGGCGGCGCTTGTGCATGCGCAATGTAGAAGAGTTTTATTTTTGTGTTGTGACTTGTCTTATACTTGTCGTGACAAAACTGATCATCGCGAGTTATTAGAGATTACTCATTACAGATCGTCTGCACTCTACAGCGCGTAAAACTTCATCGATCAATTTTTAATATGTACAACGAATGAATTTGTTTCTCCGATTGATTTTTACGATAGTGAATGCTAACAAAAACTAGAAATTATTTTTGTAAGTTTGCAATAAATATTAATTTATAACGATTGGTTTTTATTTTCAAAAGAATATCATATAAATTAATTTTTTCTATAATCAACGATGATTAATCGACGTTGTTTGTGTGCCGATAAATAACAGATGACTCAGAATGTTTTACTGTAAATTCGGTCGACATAAATGAGAATTTTAACGTACTAAGTTTTTAAATTCGACCAATAATATGTAAGAGCTTTTTACTTGAATTTTTTTGTGAATTTTTCAATCGAGTGACTGTTTGACCTTTATCAATTCAGTTGCAGGAAAATGTAATTCGTGTAATTGTATTATTTACTACATAGCAATATAGATAGGAAACTTTTGATTTCTGTTTGTTACTTTCCATATGTTTCTATGGTAGCCAAGAAACAAAAGTACAAAATTGTTTTTTTCAAAATTAATCCAAAGACAAGATAATCATTGCTGAATATTGGCCCGTAATTCGAGCTATGTATCGGTTGATTTTCGTTTGAATAAATGGGCAGGGCTACCTCGCTAACATTCTCAATATACCGCTTTATTTCTGTGCTTTATTTATTTCTTAAGGAGGCTCTACACCAATCATAACAATAGTACAGCGAGGCATCTGTCTGTCTCTTTCTCGCATTAGGCAGACAACCGCTCGCACTATTCTAAAACAATGATTTTGTTTAATTACTCATTAGTTAGTTCGTTAAGGGGTAATTTTTAACACACCAATCGAAAGCTTGAAACTTTCTCTTTCAGAAAATATATTTTTTATTAAGATGGTTGATCTTTTAAATTAGTTATGAACAATAAAAGACCGCGTCCCATAAGAGCCAGTGTTAAAATCGCGATTTTCAAACTTGTTCATCTCGAAAGTTAGTTCGTCAACTACATCTTTTTTTGGAATCTCATTTTGAAGATCTGACAAATCGATTGATATAAGTTTTATCATGTTGGATAATCTTTTGCATAATGTGTTGAGCCCCCTTAGGTCACTCTCGCTCTCGCCCTTTGAAAGATTTTACTTTTGATTATTAAGAAAAAAATCACCATGCCGCCAAACTGGGCTTCTGCTCGTTTAATTAAAATGGGAAAATTAACCCGTAAAAAATTTTCGTGCACCTTCGTATAGGCTGAGAAAAAAATTACGAAGAATAAATGTATGAAAAAAATTCAGGATCATTACTATGCAGTACGCGAATTGCATACCATTATCGTCGAAAATTTTCTTTTAGAAACTATATTATTCATGTTATTTTGAAAAGATTTCTCGATAACATCTGATGGTGAAAAAAAATGTCGAAAGTCTAATAGCTCGAAAGTACTTGACGAGACCTGTAAAAATAATTTATTAAAACATTATAACTGAAGAGCCTGCTAATGTTTTTGGCAGACCTACTTTTTATTACGCCCTACGAATAGTATACGTATCTAATGGAATGATAGACTTCATCTGATGTATCGATAATAAATATGTTTTAAAGGATTGAATTTTCATAGGGTTATTAAAAATTTACACTAGATTTAAGTATTATTTTTCTCAAATAATCTATAAAAGAATAAATTTTTATGAACATGAAACTCGTAACGAATATTTATGTATTATTAATTTGTCAAAAAAACCTTATTTTAGTAATGGTACGAGAGATTCATCGTGTTTCCTGTTTGCTCTGTTCATTAATTCTAAATTAAGCACGAAAATGGCTAATACGTGACCTCCAAGTAAAACCGAAAATACTAAAAACATTTCTTCTATTTTCATTGACCAGTCTCTTTTTTCGCTTGCATCCCAATAAATTTTATATGAACCAAAAAGTTTTTGTGTAAAACCAGCTTGGTAAAATCGCAGCAAAAAATCATTCAATTTCGGTTGCAAAACCCAATCCGGACGTACAGAGAAAACAATAGTACGCATGTTCAACAATGGTTCAGAGATGTGAACTAACTCTGTCTCACGAAGACCGTACCCAACAAAAAGCAATGATCCGCCAATGCAAATCACATTATCCTGCTGCAACATTTCTTTCATGCAATTTTTAAGATCATTAAACTCCATGATATTTCGTGTAGTAATTGCAGTCATTTGAGGTACAATTGAAGAATAAACACAAATCTTTACTTTTGTGTCATTGATAAAATCGTCAAGCGTGTCAATAGCCGATTTGAAATTGGTCAGAGTATTGATAGCACTGAATAAACCGACAAAATAGGCACTCGAACAAACTGTCAATAGGATCACGGTGCACATAAGTATTCTTTCGGATATATAGTAAGCCCGTTCGAATGCTGGTTTGTTCATGAAAGACGTGAATATTCGTACGTACTCAAAAAATGACATGCTCCAAGATAATTTCAAAATGAATTTCGATACCAACAAAAACATTACAAAAGAAGCAGCTAGGTTGACAAGAACGTCCGAATCGACAGCCGAGATGAACTTTTCAAAGACGCTGGGTTTGATTTTACGAGATAATGCATTTACAGTTGTACTTGCTGAAAAGCCCGTTTGCAATTTCCAATAATCAGAAAGAAGGCTCATTAGAGTGATAATTTCAATTTTTCCGTTTACAAGATCTTGGAGGGCACCTTGTGGTTTTCCATCGTTATTTAATGGGGCTCTATTTGTGTAAATTTTCATATCGTAACTTGCTCTCATATATTGTATGAATTCGTTCAATACTTTAGCAGAATTCAATGGGACTTCCTCTAATTTGACGTCTGATCTCGATGAAAATTTCGCCTTATTCGGGACTTCAGTACCCACTATAATCTTGTAATTAGACAAATTTACTAATTTGTCGAAATAGCACATGTATGTTCGTTTACTGCCTATTAAATAAATAGAAAAAATAAATTTTAATTAAATGTAAAAAATGAAATAAAAATCGTAATATTTAGCAATAACTTACTCTTAATCAATGAAAGCTGAGTAATGTCACAAGACAATAACGTTATATTTTCATTGTTCATCTTTGAATTCGCTTCAATTATCCAAAATGATGTTGCCATCGCGGAAAATGGATTGAAAGTGTAGAGCATGTAACGATGACTGGATGTTACACATAAATAGAAAATATTAACAATATAAAATTTCCAAGCCACATTCAATGCTGGAGATGCCATATTACAAGAGGATTCGGGAGTTGGTAAAATTAAAAAAGATGCTTGATTATTCCAAAAAATAGAATTTCGAAAAGCTCTAAAAAAATCTAATAAATAAGGCTCTGACATCTCTTTAATGATGACTATATGTGCTGGTTGTGTTTTCCTTTCGAAAATAGTCTCATTGATTTTAAATACATTTATCAAACGTTGATAACGAACATTATTTGAAATATTACTGAACCCATTCAAATTAAAAATAAATAACGAAGAATAACTATCGCTTAAAAACGATATTTCACAACTATTCCAGTTGCCGACCATCATGATATATTTTTCACCTTCGTATGGGTTGAGAAAGCAATTATCAAGAATAAATTTCTGAAAAATTATTCAGTTATAGCAAGGTTCATGTCGTACACGAAGTGCATACCATTCTCGTCCAAAATTCACTTTTACAATGTAAATTATTCTCGTCATTTTGATATATTTTCTTGTTGATATCTGATGATACTGAAGATATTTTAGAAGTCTTAATCGTTTGAAAAATTATGAGAAAAATCCAAAATCTCATCGTACCTGGAATAAAATCTTTTCGAAAATAATAACTACAGAGCTTTCTCATTTATTTGGTAGACATAATTTTTTTGGCATCTGCAAAGAGGTGTGTACGTCCAGTTAAAAAAAAATATTGATATCTTTTGCTGCATCAATAGTAGATACTGTCTACAAGTTTGTTTTCATAGTAATATTTAGCATTTACAATTCATTTTAGAGCTAGATGTTTTTTTTTATCAGGCAAAAATACAACAACTGTAGGGAAATTCTTCGAACATTAAAATTGCTTATAAATTATTTAGTGCAAAAATGAACTTTTAATTTCAATTAATTATTGATTTTTGGGCCTTTTCAATTTCGTAATGCATTTGACGTGCGTAATGTTTTTTCAATAATCTAATTCCACCGTTTTCGGGTCTATTTATTTTAATGTAATTAAAAACGAGCTCTCTCGACCTTTGATTTACAGATTGATAATCAAGCCTCATATGTTTAATTTGATTTAGTGTACCTTAGAAACCATTTAAACAATCATTTTATTCCGTATTAAAAATCTTTGTGATTTTTTTTGTCTTGACAGGTAAGATTTTGGAGAAAGAAGCATCCAAGCCTGTATGCATTTTTCGGATCACTGCAGAATGAGCAAGGCGACACGGAAACATTAGCAAGGCAGATTGAGCTGGGCCAAAAAGTTCGAGCTAAGCGGGCTGGCAATTTTTAAGCGATGGAAGGAAGAATTCTCAACATTGTTTCAAAATATCATGAATACGCCGACCAGGACACTGTAATGGAGTACCTACCCAGGTGAAAATAGTATGTCAGATCTGACTCCAGATCTGGCATCAGATCTGGTATAAGATCTGATAAATGTACGCCAGATCTGATACCAGATCTTGTATTCGATAATCGACATCAGAACTTATATCAGATCTGACATCAGATCTGATATCAGATCTGAAGTGACTGTATTGCCTTTAATTAATTAAACAATAACTTTATTAATAATTGAAACTTTATAACACATTTAGTTATATTTTAATAATCACATCTATAATACCTTTAAGAAAAATTCCTACAATATTTAGGTTTCTGATAATGTGAATTTAAATTGATTCAA